TAGCCAAAGAGAAAAAATTAAAAACCATACAAATTTCTCTTATACGATAGGTTATGACTTATGAACCTTTATACTAGCGAAGTTTAATACACATGAAACTTGATTAATTGAAGACAATTTTGTTATTTAAAACAGTACACACAATTTCAGTGTCTTTGAAGTTTAATTCTTATGATTGCTGTTAATTTTCTTAATCGATCAATATTAAAATATATTTTTAATTTATAAATATCATGTCTATTGAACTTGAATATATTTTTATTTTATTTGATTATAATATATAATATATATTATTTTATGAATATAAGGTTATCATTTAAATTTGATTATATTATTTTCTTACACTAAAAGTAAGAGATATTATCTTATCGTGATTATCCTCATGTTTAATTTTATAAAAAGTGATTGAGGAATAAAAGTAAATGTAAAATAAAGAAATCACAAACAAAAATGGAAAATTTCTCTTATTTCCTTTTCTATCTAAATAACAAAAGGCTGAAGAACATGTCTCACCCTTAATTCTAGATCCACGATAGGTGAAGCCCAGTAAAAAATTAAATGTTCTCCTAGGAAGACGAGTTCAAGCCCATAAGCAGCTCAGAAAAAAAAAACCGAAGAAGCCCAAGTGAGCTCTCCTTAATCATGACAAAAAAAAAATCTGTCTGAATAAATTAGTCTTGAAATAACTTTAGAAGAAGAAAAAAAAAAAAAGCTTTATTCAAGTGAGACTAATAAATATTACATCTTTTCTTTAATCTTTAATCTAATTTATTTTTCTAACAAAAATTTACTATTTCTTTAATATTTGTAATAAGTCCTCCCTTAAGACATAACAAAATTGAATTTTTTAATAATAATAATAATAAATATCACTATTTATATTTTCTTCTCTCTCCTCCGAACAAATCATAAATATTTTGATAAAGTATTGAATTAAATCAATGGAGCTTTACTTCGTTGTACCATAATCCTTTGATGACTTCAGACTCCCTCACTATGGCTCGCCGTGATAGATGAATCAATTGTTTGATGGAACGAAGCACCCTCCAAAGTTTAATAGAATAGAAAAAACATATTCGTTTGAAGTATTTAATATAAACTCCAGTCATGTCTGCATTGAATCATTCTTCACATAAGAAACCCAAGATGTGATAATTCCAAGAAAGAATCAGACAAAAACAGATTGTATCTAAGAACTGTTGCTATTTTACACCAACAAGCAGGTCTGGTTGAACTTAACTAGATATGCAGTACCAAATTAGTGGAGGAATTAACTTCTTTGAACTTTAATATATGGTTGAGGAGCAGTGTCAAGAAGCATTTATATTAAAGTGGAAACCAATTCCTAAAACTTCACTTTCACAATTAAAAAAGTGATCTAGGTCTTTTCTTGTCAATTCCTTTCAAGCCACTTTGCATCATGCTAATAACACGAGGGGATAAAAAAAGTAAAGGTAGACAAAATATTCAATAACAGTGACTCCATCTGTGTATAATCTTGCAAATCAAACTAAGCTTGGCATAAAATTACAATTTTTTTTAAAACACAAGAAGAAACATGACTACATACAGTAATTGTTATCATGTTGGCATACACACATGGTGATGGTACGTAAATGAGAGGAATCTTATTCAATCTGTAGCTGTGTAGAATATTGATATCTTAGGAAACTCTAAAGTCAACTTATAGATAGGGGTCAAATGTCATAATTCTGTGGTGTTCTAAGGGAAAAAGATTGGTGGGGAATGGGGGATGCACAGTTATTCAATTGTCTACGGTGCAGACAGCAACTAAGCCAGGTACAAATAAGATGGCTGAGCAAGGTGGAAAGGGTTGGACAAAATTTCCATCTTTTGTTTCCTTTGTTTCAAATTATCAATTAATGCATGTAATGTATTACACGTATCATTTTAAAATTATGAATTAATGTCACAAAAATTACTTATTTTTGTAATAACTACTTTAAAAATTAGTTTTTAATTAATTTATAGCATAAAATTGTCAATCTATCAAAATTAATTTCAAAAAATAAGATCGAAATATTTTACATTTAGGATATTTTGAAAAGGAATTCCTATTTTATAAAAACTTATTCAATTAAGTAAAAATTAAAACAACAATCCAGTCCCCTGTTTAAATCGTGGGCTGTGTAATATTTAGCCCATGCACCCACCTTATGAAAATATAATTACAGAAGAATAGCAACGAGAGCAAAGTCACCTTTTTTTTTTCTTTAAAGAGGAGACTCGGCAATCACCATTGATTTCTAGGGGGAAAATACAAATTACCCTTCTATCACTAGACCTGCTACTCTATGGTTGAAACTTGAAAATGAAAACATTAGTTCTTTAGTTAAATTTAGTAGAAAACCTTGGATGGAGCTCAAAACACGACCTTGCATTCTTCTTTATTGCAAAATTTCCCCCTCTTTCCTATGTCAGCTATAATCAAGTATTAATTAAAAACCCAAAACTTTTCCATGATTCACGATTTTTAATGAACAACCAAACCCCTATTTGTCAACATACTCAACCTCAATGTAACCAAATATAAGTATACCCTGATATGTACCATTGGAAATAGATGGATGCAGGGTAAGTGTCATTGGTTATATTAGTTCATTATTTTAATTTCGTTTCCAATGATCATTTTCAGTCCAGTATTTTTAATTCAAAAATACAGAGTCAGAATATTAAAGGTATTTGGGCGATGGGGAGAAACTAGAAGGGGAATTTTAAAATAAATCAGATGCAGCTCAGATAGATATTAGATTTAATTATATAAATTCCCATTCTTTATCCCTAAACACGCATCATATCTTTCTATCCCGAATTTAATCAAAACCAAAATCAACAGCCCATTCTTCTCTAGAAAATGTGGTTTTCTACAATTGTTCTCATAACACATTGAAACTAAAAGGCTTTGGAGATTATAAAAGAACAATATGAGCCGTAAAAAACCAAAATCAATAGCTCATTCTTCTCAAGTAAATGTGGTTTACTACATAAGACATTGACCGATCAAATAAATGCTATGGAGATTGTATGAACAATACATGAACAGTGTACGAAGAAGAATATCTTATTTGAAGGACGAATTTGAGTTAGATTTCGGGTTAAATATTTTTTAAGGACAAATCTGAGTTATACTTTAAGAACGAATGAATAAGGGTTTATCTACGGATGAATAAAGTTTTTTTTTTTTTTCTTACTTTGGCTGCCTTTGGTTTGATTCGCAACCTTGTATATTTAATACCCTATTTCGCATGTTGGTTTGTTTAGCTGCTTTTGGTGATGCCATGCCTAGAAGTATTGCTTTTAAACTTTTATGGTACGGTGTGCTAATGTTTGGACAGATTTTTAACTTCTTTAAAACAGGACAATATAAACGATTGTAAAATTTTACCCATTAATTAACGCTTAAAATTGTGACATTTTGTGCATGTTTGGTTGGTTCATTTTAAAGTAATAACTATTTGTTTTTATCAAGTATTTTTTTTTAAATGATTATTTTTGTGGAAAAAGTTATTCCTACACATTTATAAATGCTTTCTTGATAAAATGTCAATTTGGGTCTATATGGTTTGCCATATTCCTCTCGACCTGAAGCACTTGCATACTTCAATTGGATAACATGGCTACACCGTGAAGGAGGATTAAGTTGCAAAGTTCATGGGGAATAAGCTTCTTAGTCAAAGTACTTAGCTTCTTTCTCAGATATAGAAGCATAAGCATCACATTCCGTAGTCTCCTTTCATTCAATGTGCCATTGTTTTCTACTGCATGCGAAAGTGTGTGTTTGTCTTTCTAAATGACATCTCTAGTATATATGTTAAGGGCAAAGGAAGCTAGCAATGATGCAACCTCTCGACATGAGACCAAGGGAATAAATGAACCAATAGCTGTTCAACTTAGTTACTTAGGTCGACAAGAGTTCAGGACCCATACTCTACAAAGTTGAAAGGAAATAACTCATGGAAGATGCTACAATCTATAATATCTACATGTAAATAGGAGTTAGTTCGAAACCATTTTCACAAGAAAACTATATAGAATAATTTGAACGATACTTTACATAAAGATTCTAAAGTTTATAAGCTTACAGAGTGTAAAAAGAATAAGAACTCGTAGACCTTTGACCTGTGGAGTAAAGCAGACGAGCATAAGAAGTGTTTAATTGTTGAAAAAGATAAGGAGTTATTTATGTCATGCACTATGCTTTGTTGTTGTTGCAAAAAGGTGTTAGCTAATTAAGCTTAAAGAAGGAAGGTCAAAATTAGCCTTTTCATAGAAAATAGTTCCAACTCCCATCAGTATAAATTACTACTTTTAATGATGTGAATTGCACAAATAAACAACCTAAAGCCCTTCAAATAAAATACCGCTTGTTGAGTTCTTACTTATCAGAGTACTCCTTAGTTTTGTCTACCTAAGAACATTTGTTTGAATCTACTTTTTTATACTCTGCAGTGCTTGTATTGTTTACTTTTCATGTATTTTGAAGTTGGTACCCTTCATTATATGTATGTTGCAATTGGTGAGTCACAGATCTTGCAATTATGGAATGGTAGTGATTGCGATTGGAATTCTTTCGAAGCTTGTGCTGTATCAACTCCTTATTGTTTGCAGTTGTATTGGAATTTTGTTTCATAGCCTTTAATCATTATTTGATAGTTGGTTCATCTGTTGAGAACCATGACTCAAAGTTCTGCTCATAGTGGCATAACATATGGTTAGGATTTGTCGAAAGAGATGCAAGGTCACCGAAAACACAACATGCACACACAATGAGGCCTTACACTACTTAACTAGCAATTTTCAAATTTTCAATTCCTCATCATCATATATTAATAGCTGACCTAAAAATTTTCCCCATATCCATCGTAGGCTCAACTAAAAACCATGATCATCAAAGTAACTCACTAATTTTTCACAATAATTTGACATAGCCATATAATATTATGACATGAAAACAAAAACAAGATTCTTTGTATTCTCATTCACACAACCTCAACTGCAGTACAGTGCAGCCCTGAAATGTTATCTAATAAATCACAAGTGAGCATTGAAGGCGCCTTAGGTTTTGGTTGTCTTGTAGAATATGTTATGGGTAGTGGTTCCACTGTAGAGCTATAGCATGTGCCCAACCACTTAGCTTGCATATACTTGTGTTTTCTCCATGGCGCTAAGTGCATTTTCTTCTCCTTCATGCATTTTTTAGCAGCTGAGCACATAATCTTAACTAATACTCTTAACCTTTCTGCTTTTCCAACATATACTTCGGGTAATCGCCTAATTAATTGGTTGTATTCTTCATTAGCCCGTGCCATCTCAAATTCAGCTCTAAAGCTCAATTCAATCACCACTTTTATTGCCCCTCTTTTAGTGTTTGATGAATTATCTGTCACTTCCAAATAAGTATGGTCCCCTGGAACAATTATGGACAAAAAGATGAGGAAAAATTAAATAAATAATTCTAAATTCTCTTACTTTTTATATTCATAAACTCTCTTAATTATTAAATAAAAATATTTAACATTTTTAAAATATGTATATATATATATTATTTAATGCATATTTTATAAAGTAGTACGAGTGTTATTTAAAGAATTTGTAGAAAGATATAGCAAATTACATAAATTAAGTACGACTTGATCCTACTGAAGCGTGAGAAAAATCATGTTCCACCCATATGTTAAGATATTTTAATATAAAGTTAACCAATGTGTATGTTATTGTGAAATTCCTCAAACAAGAATAATCTTTAAATTTATTTAATTATTAAATTTTATAATAATTACTTAAAAAGTTGTATTTACATGTTATTTAATTATTGATAATGTAAATACATTATCAGTGTATTAAAATCATATTTATAATATTTTGTTTTATAACATTTTGTATCTTCAGGTTTGAAAGTCAGGTCTCACAGATTAACATAGCACACATTCAATAATATAATTAAAAGTGCCAGGGAACCTATTGCATATGATATTTGTTGTTTTCTAAATAAAAGTAGCGTATTATATATATGACTCCAATAATTATATTATCGAAATCATGATCTGGTGATCCATTCCACAGTAAAACCGTGGACTCCGTTTAAGGCAGAATTTCTCACTTAAGAAATTAAGGTTGTTCTGTTATCTTTAACACTAACTATTTAATTAAGCTAATCAAGACTGCACGCATAAATTGCAGAGACGATAAAATGGATTGATCCGGTCTCACTGAGTCCATTAAAATATATCTATTAAAATACATTTTAATAGTTTCATTAAGTTTATTATCTTATTAAGTTCATTAAAATTTAATATTTTAATTTTAAATTTTAAGTTTGAATTTTGAATTTTTTTTTTTTTGTATACTTTAAATTTATTTATCTGATTTCTTAAAATCAAGTTTGACATCAATTCAATTTATATAAATATAAAATAATATATAAATTGAGATAAACTTAAACTTTTTATTGAATAAAATTTTGGTTAATTTAAGTAAAAAAATAAAATTTCTTAATTGTCGTCTTAATAATTTGTGGGCTCTTATTTTCTATTTCTTAATTCTGAGGTTTAACAGTAAAGATCATATATCCATATTGCACGTGCGTGCAAATAGAAGGAAATCTTCACCTTAACTTCTACTCCAAATAGAATTAAGTAAGTGTCAATAAATGTTACATTAGTTAAAGAAATTATTAATTAAAACCATTTATTTTATTAAAAAAAATTTTAAAAAATATATTTATTATAAAAATGATCAGAATATGAATTGTGAAATTGCTATTACCATTTCCGATCGGATAGATTTTAATGTCAAAGGTTTTAAATTTAGTCACGACTGCATCACTCTGTGATTGCCTTTTTTTAATCCATGGCAATCACAACCGGAATCATGATCGTGATTGTAATTTAAAACCTTGTTGGATACATATAAAACCAACCTTTGTCAAATGTAATTTGATTAATCGCTTTCTCTAACAATTTGAATCATGGGTTAATTTCTAAATAATAATATATTTATATTATATATACCTGATGGAATTTCGGACGAACTTCTCCATTTAGATTTGCAAATGGCACAATTGTAACCAAGATTCAATAATCGATCACATATTTCTCTCAGCAAGCAATTCCGGCAACTCTTAGCCACCACCGGTTGCCGGCAAATACACACCATCTCCGACGTGTTCATTTCTCTTAGAGCCTCCTTTGTTGCTTCCCGAACTTTTGTCTCACGGGAGCTACTCCTGCATAAAGTTGCCTTCCAAAATTGAAACAAGAAAAAAGCGACCCATCAGTTATTTTTCATTATTAATATTAAGTAGATGCTAATCGATATCTATTAAAAAAAATTTATCGTGATTTTTAATATATTCCTAATGTAATTTTTAATTAGTACTGATTAATAAGAAACATCAAATAGTATTTTTAACTGAAAAAACGTGACATGAACTTAACAAGTGATTTAGTTCCTAAATGAAATTTTATATATTTTTTTCATTATATGTATACCTTGAGAAGCTGATCTTGTTCTTCCCAGAAAGCTTGATTCTTTTCCGTTGTACAAAAGCTCTCGTCTTCTTCATAATCAACTTCGTCATCGTTTCCGGAGTTGGATGAATTTTCCGATGGAACCTGAACATCTTCCCAAAACCCAAAAACGGTATCATCAAAACTCACCTCGTCAGAGCTCCGGCCAGTGGCCGAAAGAGTGGAAAATTGTTTGTTCATGGATGTGCAAATGAATGCCAATTCCGATAGCTCTCTCTCTATATATATGGTATCTGATGTGATATACCCGTGAGGGAGTGAGAATTTTATTTCACTTTATAAGAATGTCAGTATATAAGGTACTCTTAATATATTTTTTGTGATTATTTAATTTTTTAAAATGTTAAAGAAGTTTTTGTAAAACAATTATTTTGTTTTAGTTTTAAATAAAAATTGATTAATTATATAAAAAAGTGTTAAAAAATATATTATTGACATCTTTTTAATAAAAGTAGTACAAATTAATAAAGTTTCACGTGGTCTTATATCTATGACGTTGGATGGTCTGATGGGATCCAGTGTATGCTGGAAATCAGTTTCAGTTATCCGCATATTCCATCCTTGTAGCATGTTCTCTGCAACAACATGGGAATGATTAACTAAATAGTGAACATGGTACATTCCAAATCAAATGCGAATTTTCTTTTTCTCTCCTTAGACTCATCATTCAGCTCTTCCAATTTCCCATCTAATTTATTTGTTCAATGTTAATGTTTTTTCATCAATTTTAATTACTTAGGGTATGTTTGATTTAAACAGAAATCAAACATAAGTTTTTATTTTTTATACATTTTTTTATCATATATGTAACACAAGTATTTCACGAGATGCTGATGTAAATACCAGCACTTGATATAATTTTCGTTAAACTGTATATTATAACTTAAATTCTTGTCAGTGATTTTTTAAGGTGCTTCCAACTCTATCCAACCGTAAGAGACTTAGCACTTATGATCTACATAATCAGGATTTGAGAATGGAAGGAGAAATAATCTGTGGAAGAGATTACTTAAAAATTAATTGGTGTTGTATAATAATATATCACATCTTAATTAATTTTTACATTTATTGCCAAGTTCAAGACTTCTTGGATGCTGAATCATGGTGCTTATCCGTATTGGAATAGTAGAGGAAAACATGATATTTTCTACGCCAAAGTCATTGGCTTTAAGATAAAAGGTAATTGTCAAAGGGCCATTCACGGAATCGATGGATATAATGGTAACAAATTTAAGGTTTTTAATTACTTTTATGATGAGTCGGCAAGTTTGGAGGGGGCAGGGCTTGACTTGGATAGTCACATTCAGCATAAAGTAATATTAAAAAAATTGAAATTTTTTTACCTTTTAAGCAAAATTTTCACTGCTCATTTAACTACGTTGGTATTACAGTAACAGGATTATATTATCACTTGGAAAATGAAAGAATTTAATTCATGGAAAAAGTGCAATAAAGCGGTTGAAAAGGTGCATAAAAGAATATTATAGATGGAAAATTGCGACCGTCGTTTTGATGGTGCACCCCCTCTTTATTATTATAAAAACAAATTACATGACTGATTTGTATTTTCTTTTACAATTTTGGTTTTAATCATCCATCGTTTTCTTTTGTTGGATCCACAGATTATTCATCTTTCATATCGAATCTTGATAAAGACGTACTGCATAATAATTTAGCTTCAAGTATATGAAATGATGTCAAGAGACTTGACTAGTTCTCTTAATTGATTGAGATTAATTAATCAAAAACGATTTCCACATAATGGTTCCGTTAAAAATGATTTAGGTCATGATCGCCAAGGAACTTTCTGACAAGTTGGCTTCCCATATCATGTATAAAATTTTAATGATAAGAGATAAAGTAAAAATAAAATGATATTTTACATGTAAACTTAGTAAACTCAATCTCTTCTTTTTCAATCAAACATATTTTATATATTATGGAAGAGAGATTCTACTTTTGCAATAAATTTTTTACTAGGAAAGACATAGAAAAGAATAAAATAAACAGTGTGATAAAGAGAGATAAAGAAAACATGAATTAAAAAAAATCATGTTTACTATATAATAGAAACACGATTATGAAATAATATAGGAACACAAAAATTATAATAATCGAATTTTTAAAAACATAAAACAAAAATAAAATAAAAAATATAACATATCAAGTAAAATAATTATATTTCATAAAACACAATTATGAAATAACATAATATATCCTGTTTCATTATGATACAATAGAAACACAAAAACATGATGATTAAATTTTAAATATCATGAAACACGATGAAGTAATAATAAAACATAAGATTGTAAAATTAACATGAAAGTTTAATTTTAAATATAAAATTTGATATGAATCATTGTAAACATTATAAGTTGTTGTGATTTATGCAATCATTGTAATTTTCGTATTTCTATTAGTATAAAATGTTTTTAAAAAAAATTACAGCATTCTTAAGAGACAGTGTGATGTTGTAAACTTTTGTGTAATTAATTTCGGAGCTGAAAGATATGTGGGTATGATTTTGTTTCTCCATATTAAGTTTTTGCAGTGTTTCTCCCGAAAATTAAATGCAAATTTTCGCGAGCATCCAACTAATTTGTTCTTTTTTCTTCTTCTTTATAGATACCAGCTAGCAAACATCTAATTCACAGAATAATGTTTGTTATTTTGATACGAATAATGAAGACAATATAGGTTTTCTAATAATTATATCAACATAATTTGAATTATTAATTCGAGTGAGTGAATACAATACAATACCAAAAAATAAAATAAAATTATATACTATATACTATCACTTTAACATTAAATTAGCCATTATTAATATTTTTTTATAAAATTATATTATTAATATATTGTGAGTTTATATTAATAATATGATATATATACACAAACAAAATAATTTGGCTACCACAGAATATTAACAGATAAACTTAGATGATTAATCTCTAACTTTCTTTTAATTTAATCCTTTAATTTTTAATTATTTCATTTAATTCTTTTTTATCGTTTAACACGTTAATAATTTATATCAATAATTTATATCAGTTTTGTTTAACTCTGTTAGTGACAAAGTAATTTAACTTCATATTTAACTTAACGATATTTTATTTCAGTCATTTAACTTTTAAAAGTCTAAGATTTTTATCCTTCCGTTGATTTTTACTTTTTTAATTAAAAATTAATATTTTGTATTAAAAGGTGAAAAACTTAAATTTTTAGTCTTGAAAGTGAATCATAGACACTCCTAAAATTACTCCACATTATAAAAATAAACAACAAAAACTTTATCTTATTAAGTAGAACTAGTTACCTAAATTATATAATGTTATTAGGTTCAAATAAAAAACAAGTATTAATTAAATAAAAAAAAAGTCATTGAAACATTTTGCTTATCCTTTCTCTTATTCTTGCTTTCATATATTGTGTTCGTGTAATATATAGTACTAAGAATTCATACACATTTGAATTTTTGGATTAAAAAATTATCAAATAAATTTATATTCAAGAGAGAAGTAAAATTGTCTAATAAAAAGGTATCCATTAAATTCAAAATATTAAAGTTGATACAAAATTTCCCCTCTTTCTTATCTAAGAAATTTTTATGTTAATAGTTTTCATAAAGTACAAATTAGAGTAATTATTTAACTTGAGCAGTTTGTCTAGAGTAATTTAATTTTATTTAGTAGAGTTTTGGCACACTATATTGCTAATTTGTATTTTTTTTAGAAAAAAAAAGGAATATAAAAAATTGTTTCAATAATTTTTTTTACTTTTAAAATTAATGTAGAACAATTTTAATAAGTAAAAAAAAAGTAAATTTTTGTCATGTTAATATGTACTATTACATCAAACATTAATATATTATATTAGTATAGAATTTTAAAATCTATATTAATAATTTAATTTTTATTAAAAAAATATTATATTTAAAGTTGTTTTAGTATTTGAAACTTTGATTTACCAATAAATGACAATATATTTAGTAATAGTTTATTATTTTAGGTTTTATTCATTATAAAAATAAAAATAATACTTCTATCCCAAATTATCAAGTTCTCTTTCAGAGTGAATAATTATTTTCAAATTTTATATAATTTTAAATTCTAAAAGGTTTGAGATAGCCGATTCAGGCATACATATTACGAAATCAGTTCAGACAAAATTAATTTGCATGTTTAATTACAACAATTGAAACCAGCTTGCACTTCTCGACCATTAACTTTGTTCATCAATTCTGGTTTTTGAATGTTTAAAATTAATAGTATATGTGATATAATATATAATTTTTTTATATATACATATTTTAGAAACATATTTCCTAGAAATACTAATATATATTCCTTAGTTCATTTTTACGCGATAGAACAGAGTGGTGTTGGCTATCGCAATCTTACTCTGATGTCAATATACGGTGCAACAAGCAAATAATAATAATTTTCCCCTTCAAGTTGGAAAAAGTGAGAACATATACTTTAGTATATATTCAACTAGGTTCACCATAAACTACAAGAGATAACTTATACAAAAGTATATATCATGTTTTATATCAAATTTAATTAATATTATTTCTTTAAAGACCCATGTAATTAACATAGATTTTTAATTTAGTTATTTAATTTTTGTTTACATTCAAAAAACTTTCTCTAATTAATATTGCATAAAAATGTTTATATTTTTATATATTAATTTAATTTTTATTAGTGTATAAAATAGTATTTTTAAAAATTCATATATTTACGTGTATTCATGTAAAAGTACTTATATAATCAGTATAAAAAATAATAATTTTTTTTATAAATTTAAAATTATTAATAGATGACCTAGATATCCACTTATTGAGAGAAATATTCCAAAGTATAATTTTATCATTTTAAAAATAGAAACCTCGGACTCTTGAAGCTTCTGAAGGGGCATGCACTTGGAAAGGTCAACTTATCTTTACAAGTCATAGAATGAGATTTGTTTGAAGAATGGTGGAAATATAGCTATTCATTTAGTTGCTTTTAAGTGATAAAGAAAATGTCTATTTATTATTACTTTTAAATTAATTATCATTAAAAGATATTTTAATTTAAATCAAGAGTTAACAATTTTTTGCAGATATTAAATTTTATTAATTCAACTATTGAATTATATATAACATTTTTAAAATTATAAATATAAAATTTAAATAAATTAAATATTTATAAATATATAATTTTATAGTCTATATTTATTTATATTTAAAAATTTATATTATGTTAAAAAATTATTTAATTAAAAATTAAAGTGCTCAAATTTAATATTTATAATATCTATTAAATAAAGTAAGTTAATTAATATTTACTTTTGACTAATTTGATGAAGCAAGTTATTCTAATTTGTAACTTCTATTTTTATGCAGTTTTTTTTATTATTAGCTTTGAAAACTTGTTTTAAAAATATATTAATACAAATTACTTTTATTACATTATTGATATAAAAAATTATATTATCAATTGATTAAATAGTAATATAAATATCAATAAATAAATATTAGTATAAAAATTATTTATCCTATAAATAAATTTCACTTAAATTCTAAGCAAACATACTTTTTTATTTATCCAAAAAAATAATTAAAAATAATATTATTAAGAATCCATTTGGTGACCAAAATAAAGATAACATATCATATTTATTTTAATTAAATATTTATTAAGTTAAAAAGATAAGATTAATTTATCTTACTTTTTATCCTACCATATTGGACTAGTGTATTTATTAATTTGAGAAAATAGTTATATTAAAAAAAAGAAAGAAATGATAATAATTATTTTTCTCGTACTTTTAATTTATTCTATTAGCTCTTTCTCATCTCTCATCTCTCCTCTTTCCTCTTTATTTTTATATGTATTTAAAATATATTAAATTATTTTTATATATTTTTTAAATTAAAGAATAAATAAATTATACAGAATAAAAAATAAAAAATATAACTTTATTTAAGATAAAAAAGTAATTATACATATTTATATGATATTATTTTTTTTATTAAGTATATATTAAACATTATATACAATAAAAGCTTATTACAGTCTTATTCTATTCTACTCTTCTTCAAATATCACCTTTAAAAAAATATTATTGCTAAAAATGCAATTACATGTCATGAAACAAACATCACCTTAAAATACAATCTAACCGCCTATCAAAACAACTTAAAGTGGTGAAATGGCCAAAGTAAGCACAGCAAAATATATAATTTCCAGGCACCTTGTCTTGTGTGCTGCAAGTCACAACATATCCAAGTAGGTTGCATGTTAGGTAAAACACCATGTAGGAATTAAAGGGATAAGAACATATTAATTTATCATAATAGTAAGGATCAAAGAACTATAAAAGTGCAAATGTAGGTTAAAATAATATAGTTACTTTACGATAGCATCAGCACAAAATGACAGGCTCTACCTAGTTGGCCAATAAATTTAATTTCAATTAAAGCTGAACAAGTAGAAAGCCAACGATGCAAGGCAAACTATAAAAACACAGCTATATACTTAAATGAATCGAATTAATTATACATACATTAATATATAGTTGGAGTGACAATGACAATTATAGCTTAAGTGTGTAAAGATTTCATTTGCACTTAAATCCAATTATATTATTAAATAATATGATATGTTTATGTTTAAAAAATACACATTTTTTATTAAATTTAATTAATAAATCTTTCAACTAATTGTAGTAGATTATAATTTGATAAAAGTTAATTTGTTTACTTAATAATATGGTTATATCATGTTATTTAATAATACAAGAGGATTCAATTTTTGTTTTAATTTAATGAATTGAATTTGCCATGAAACACAAATTTGGTTGTCGTACATTTCTACTTAATTGGTTTTCTTAATGGGTCTACAGGAAAATACAATAAAAATTTATGTATAATAAGTTTTTATCAAAAATATATCTGAAAATTTAATGATATATTTAATTTTATGTATCTTTATACACATTAAAAGAATATGCTTAATAGGGTGTGGTTGTTAAATAATATATTTTATAATTTATTGTAGCAGTTGGCAAAGACTATATACCTGCTAAGTTGTAGGCCGTTCTCCATGCAATTATTGAACTAACATTCTGTAAGGCCCTGATGAATCAATCACTAAGGGGATCAATTGTTAAAGTTTAATAAATCACAATGACCTGCACAAATTTGGAAAATGTATATCAACGACAAAATCATACGATGATATAGTTTTGGGTGCTTGTGGTTTATCAAATGCATAAGTAATATTATAAGCAAGAATTATGTGAATAATACAAGTAACTATTAACCATTAATTCCAATAGTAAAATGAGCAATTGAAATGATAATGAAAAACAAAAATAAGCAAAACAGTTACAAACACATAATATATATGCTGAAAGAATTTCAATAATACGAAACACATTAATGTTTTGCAGATACTCCCTAGGTATATATCCAAATCCATCATATTATTCTTTAGCATGATAAATTATAATAGCAAAGTATATAACTAATATTAGTCATTTTCAGGGAGGCAATTCGAGGCCTTCCCATTATTCAACATGGGAAACTATTGGTAGAAGAAAAAGTCTCGTTTCCAATGAAAGATGCAGAAAATATTTGTTTATTTAAAGGATAGGTTCGAGTTTGAGCACGGTCATCTTGAAAGTGAGATTTGTATTAAGCTGATAACATCCCAAACAAATTAAAGCTTATAATATAGATTAAGTATTAATGAACTACGAATACAAAGTACAAATTTATTATCCTCATTTATGGATCACACAAACAAATTAGCAACTAATTATGTTGATTAAGGAAGCATGTGAATATGTCTGGAAACTTGAAGACATGTTGATGATGATTTCATGATGGAGATGAAAAAAAATGCGGTGAGCGTGGATCGAACACGCGACCTTCAGATCTTCAGTCTGACGCTCTCCCAACTGAGCTATCCCCGCAAGAAAGTGCACCAGCCGGGAATCGAACCCGGGTCTGTGCCGTGGCAGGGTACTATTCTACCACTAGACCACTGGTGCAATTTATTTGAAGAAATTTAAAAGTAATAAATAGCTATAAGACTTTAAGCACAAACCACTTTCAAATGGTCCATTAAGTCTGCTGTGTTTACTCTTTAGGGAGATAAATTTTATTCAGAAAACAACAAAGTTTACATAAAAATAAAAATCCGCCTATTTCTTTTTACTTCATAGACATCTTATATTTTATATACTTTTCAGTTTTATGCAATAAATTAAAATGTACAGAAGCTTAAGATAATTTATTTTTCTAATATTAAAAAACAATAATAAACTCAAGAGTAATTAAAGTAATAAGCAAGTCTCGTATAAAAAAAATGTAAATATAATTTATTATAAGACTAAAATACTTACAATATAATTATTGTCACCTTTTTCCTGAGCCCTTTTTTAGCTATTGTTTTGCTATAGGTGTTTCTGTATTTAGTAGAAAGAGTTATTTAGATTGAAAATTCAAGTTTACAAGTGATTACCAGTATAATACTTTTAGAAATATAAATAAATAAAATAAATTATGAAATATAATTATATTCATCTGTTTAATAGATAAAACTTAAATGATTGGCATTATTTTTCAATTAGTATTGTTATTTCATTTTAGTAAACATTGTCTTCATCGTGGTAATTGAAATCTCTACCACCATTACGATGATATATTGATTTTGATTAAAAAAACAACGTCAATAATGATATTATATGTAAGAGTTTTATTTGTATTTGAATTGACTTGAATGTGATAAATAAAATAATTATTTAATTCTAGTAAATTTAATTAATAATTTTTTTATTAATCTATTTACAGATAATATAAATTTGAGTTCAGTATATTTCATTTATTTTCTTTAGTATTATATTTCATAATTATATTCACCTATTAAATGATACAATTTATTAGTCAAACATGTAAATTAGGAAGAGAATAAGCTAAAAAAATATTTACTATCAAATAATATATCAAGTTTGATATTTTTTACTAAATATTCGTATAATTTTACAACACACGTTATGAATCATTCTTTTATAAGGTAAGTAAATAAAATATATTTTTCAACTAATCCTTTTCTACATATATCAATATGATTATCATTATGAAAAATTATAACATGAGAATTTTTTGCTAGTCAAATATTAAAAGACATAAAAATGCCTCTAGCTTAATGAACAGTAACTTGATAGAATAATTTTTTTAATATCATCTTATAGGTTTATTTAATATCAATTGAATTTTTAGATAACTAAAAAGTTAATTTATGATACTTTTAAATAAATTGTATTATTTTAAAAACACTAACAAAAATTATTTTACACTAACATCCAATCATAGATTGTCTTACCCCCATCCCCACCCCCCAAACAAGTAAGAATCGTTAATTTTTGTAATAATTAAAATAAAAATTATATTAATGATATATTTTAATTATCAATAATGTAAAAATTATTACACTACAATGCACTAAAATTAGTTTCTTACTTTATTTATTAAAATATAAGTAATATAAAATATTATGACATTATTAACAAATAGTTAATAAATAGCAATATAAAAATATATATTTTATAAATCTCTATGCCATACAGTTAGAATTTTAATATAAATAGGCTTTTATTTGTTCGGTGGGGAAATTGAGTTCACTTGCGTTATCTCATACTGGTCAAATCAACATTTCCTTGGCATAATTTGTTTTATTTGTTGACTTTTACTCCTTTAGACAATTATGATTCAGATATTTCTTCGAAGGAATAATGATAGTTCTTGTTGGATCCCACTTGTAGTTACATGATAGATCCCACGTGTCTGCAAGATAAAAAGTTGTAATTTTTCACCTCTTCATCTCTTTGATTGCACAGTGCACACTCTTCCTTTGATCACCGCCATATCTGTTGTTAGCGTTAGCATCTTCTTGAATGTTAATCTCTTCCATCTTCAATGTCTACCCTTTTCTTCTCTTTCCTTCTTCTCTTCACAAACCTTGTGCTTTTAAGCTCAGTTTCATCCATAGAGTTTGTATACAACACCAACTTCAACTCCACCAATACACTTCTCTATGCCAATGCCACCATTGAATCTTCCATTCTAACCCTCACCAACCGCTCCACCTTCAGTGTGGGACGTGCTTTCTACCCATCAAAGATTCCCACAAAATCTTCTACCTCTTCAACGCCTTTGGCATTCTCAACTTCCTTCATTTTCTCCATTGCTCCATTCAAAGACCTTCTACCTGGCCATGGTTTTGTCTTCATTTTGTCACCTTTTGCTGGCAGCACTGGCGTTAGTTCTGCTCAGCATCTTGGTCTCTTCAACTTGACAAACAACGGTAATCGCAACAACCATGTCTTTGGCATCGAGTTTGATGTGTTTGATAACCAAGAGTTCAATGATATCAATGATAATCATGTGGGTGTGGATATAAACTCTCTTTCTTCTTTTAGTTCACATTCTGCTGGATTTTGGGGTGGGAAAGATGATGATAAGTTTGAGGATTTGAAGCTAAATGATGGTGAGAACTATCAAGTGTGGATTGACTATTTAGGTTCTAGAGTTAATGTTACAATGGCTCGTGCAGGCCAAAAAAGGCCTCAGAAGCCTTTGATTAGTGAGTTTGTGGATCTTTCTGATGTTCTTTTGGATGAAATGTGCGTGGGATTTTGTGGGGCAACAGGGCAGCTTGTGGAGAGTCATAAGATTTTGGCTTGGAGCTTTAGTAACTCAAATCTTTCTATTGGTGATGCTTTGGTGACTACAAATTTGCCTTCATTTGTGCTTCCCAAAGGGACTGTTAGGAGGTCAAAAGGTTTCATTGTAGGGATCAGTGTAGGCTCTCTCTTTGTTATTTGGGGTGCTGTTATGATATTTGTGCTTTTTCTCAGACAAAAAAGGAGCCAAAGAAAGGAGGGAGAAGAAGAAATTGAAGATTGGGAATTGGAGTATTGGCCACGCCGTGTTAGGTATGAAGATATTTATGCTGCTACTGAAGGATTTTCAGACCAAAATGTAATTGGGTTTGGAGGGAATGGGAAAGTCTATAAAGGGCTTATGCAAGGAGCACAAGTTGCTGTGAAAAGAATTGCTTATGACAGTGAATATGGAATGAGAGAGTTTTTGTCTGAGATTTCAAGTTTAGGCAGATTGAAACATAGGAATGTGGTTCCATTGAGAGGTTGGTGTAAGAAAGAGAAAGGAAGCTTGATTTTAATCTATGATTATATGGATAATGGAAGTTTAGAAAAAAGATTATTTGATGGTGATAAGTGCACTACTTTTGGTTGGGAAGAGAGAATCAAGGTGCTAAAGGATGTGGCTGAAGGAATATTGTATTTGCATGAGGGTTGGGAGGTTAAGGTGTTGCATAGAGACATCAAAGCAAGCAATGTATTACTTGATAGGGATATGAATGCAAGGCTGGGGGATTTTGGACTAGCCAGAATGCACCATCATGAGCAGGTTGCTAACACCTCACAAGTGATTGGAACTGTTGGTTTCATGGCACCTGAACTTATTCAAACTGGGAGAGCCTCAACTCACACTGATGTATTCAGTTTTGGTGTGTTGGTTTTAGAGGTGGTGTGTGGAAGAAGACCAAATGACGAAAATAAGCCACCCTTGGTTGCATGGTTGTCGAAGCTAATGGAGAGAGAAGAAGAGTGTTCTGCTCTTGATGAAAGGTTAAAAGGGAGGGATGATTATAGCACTGATGAGGTTAAGAGGGCTCTTCAACTTGGTTTGTTGTGTACTCATCCTGACCCTCATGTTAGGCCAACTATGAGACAGGTTGTGAAGGTGTTGGAGGGAGAGAGTTTAGATATGAGCTTGCTTAACAAAATAAATTCAGCAGCTGCATATGCTGGGAACTTTGGGAACAACATTCACCCAACAATTGAGGAAATTTTCTCCTCTTACTGCTCTTTCACAACCCAATGTGGCATTGAGGGAAGATGAGTTTTCTTGAAAAATCACTTGACTACCGGTTCCTTGATACAGATGCAAAGTGTCTTACTATGAAATTTTGATTAACTGTGCCCCTGTGATAATTATTATCATTTCATTCCTTTAAACTGTATTGGTTGAATTGGTTGTATGAAAATGGCATTCTGTATATGGCTTAAGATTTTCTTCTATTTGATGTACATTGTACACACTACATAATAATAGACACCAATATAATTTTTTTTTTTTTAATTTCAAATATTATGGGCTGTATCCATGTGATTTTATTTGTAGGATTTATGCCTTTTATAATTGAATCATACAAGGAAGAACTCATATTGATATACTAATTTGCATACGTCTATTTCATTTGTTGCTCATGTTCTAATATACTAGAATTACAAAGACTCCATTCACACTAAGACCTTTTTCTTCATAGACCATGCTGTTTAACCCTATAGAATATCAATGATATCGGTTAATTCTTCTTTCTTCACCTCTTCCTTTTGCAACTTCTACAACAAAACTTTTAGAAACTTACCTTCTGGTTATGGGTTTACTTTTATTCCTCATTTTAGGAACATAATTGGCACCCACTCTGGAAATTAATAGGGACTCTTTTAATCGTTCTGGTTGAGGTAAGGTAATTTCCCCCAACAACTTTTGCTATTGAATTTGAAGGAATTCAATGAAGTAAGTGATAATCATGTGGGTGTTGACTTAATTATCTGATTTCATCATAATCTGAACCTGCTGGGTTGTTGGTTGGTAAAAATGGTGAAAAGCTTATGGTGTTTGAACTAGATAACGGTCATAACTATCAAGTACGGATAAGGATTTTGAATTCACAGTTTAGTGTTACTATGGCTCCAACAGGGAAAAACAGGCCTCACAACCCATTAAGGAAAAAGAGACCTTTGATTAGTGGGCCAGTTAACCATCCTAGTTGACCAGGAAAAAAAAAAACCATCCTAGGATATTGTTGGATGAAATGTATTTGGGGTTTTCTGGAACAACAGAGAGAATGATGAACATTTCAGAGCATTTTTTCAATTGGGCGATGCTATGTTAACCAAAATTTTGTCTTTGAATGTCCGGCCTAAGAGATGGATATTTATAGATTCTTGATACGAGAGAAACATACAAGGAAAAAAGAAAGAAAGTGATTTTTTTATATTGAATAATTAATCATCTCTCTCTAAAATCGTGAGTACCCATATCTATTTACGTGTGTGTGTGTATATATAAACACCCAACTTAACAATACCTTTAATCAAATGAGAAAAAATAGAAGGAACGAAAAATAATGAAAATAGAAGGTAGCTGCAATATGTGAAAAGAAAAATGTAATTTATACAAAAGATTTGTACAATTTTTGTTTACAATTTAGAGAATAGAAAGAGAGAAAGAATGAGTGATGTAATAAAAAACAAAAAATATTATTGTAGAAATTTGTTGTAAAAATATTGTAACAAAAGAAAGCATGGACATCAATGAAAAACTGAAAAAAAAAATAGTTATCTTTACTTTTTCAACAAAGATGGTGAAACTACTCGGTTGATATGCACACTTTGTTTTTCCTCTCTCATTAACATCACAAGCTTTCATTGGAGGGTAATTTAGTGCTATATGTCATTGGTTGATTATTAAACTTTGATGTTTTTCATTTTCTAAGGACCACAAAAAGAATACCCTAAAAAATAACAAAAGAAAACGTGCATTTTTCTAAATATAGGTGTAAGGATAAATGACGCTAATGTGAAGAGAGATCAACATAATTATAGGGACATAAAAGCAGGAAAAGTGATGTTTGACAAGGACATGAATGAAGGCAAGATTTGGAGATTTTAGGGTAGCCAAGGCTGCATCACATGGGACAACTGTTTGACAGTCTAACACAACTATAGTGACAAGGACTCAAAGGGCATGTAGCTCAAGGACTTGTGCCCTGTTTGTTTTGCCATTTTCCAAGAACATTATTTTCCTAGTGGAGATTTTTGTTTAGATAATCTTGCATAAAATAAAATAAAGGGTTATGTTTTTTTGACACAACCTCCAAAGCTTGTTCATCGATGGTGATTATTTTTAACTTTGAAAAAAAGTGTTTCTTGTTTATATACAAATAGGCACTAGATCCAATTGGCTACCATGAAATGCAACTCTTGTTTAATTTTGAAATATTAATTTTAGAATTGATATGTGTGAGAGAACTCATTCTAGCAAATAAGTTACAAGTGATTAACAAGATATTGTCCCTTTGTGGATAGTGACTAATTGTATTGTCCCCTTGATGAGTGCTTTGATTAACTTTGAGCTTTGACGAGTGCTTCAAGGTTCAAAGTTTACACATCATTGACATTGAGAAAGGAGTTAGAGTACATTGTTTAAGTTTGTTATGTGGAACATCAATCCCTGGCAAGGTTGTCAAGTCCTATCTTGTTGAGTATTTTTCAACTAAATTATGAATAATTTTTCTTAACATTTATTATAATTTTTAATAAAATTTATTATTTATATTGTGTCTTTAATCAGCTTGAAATCAATCGAATCATAAATTATAAATTACAAGATTTAGACACAATGGAATTAAAACAGCTTGAAATCTCATACTAGAAGTTCAAGAAACAAAAGTTGTACAATGATAAAAGAGCGCGTGTTCAATGCTCCTTCCGTTCATTTTAATTTTATATATATACACACACACACACAAACAAAGCATTTAATAGTTTGAGCTTGTCTGACTTTTCAATTTCTTTGATGAGAATTGGTAAACGAAAAAGGAAAAAAAAATCGGTAAATCGTGTGATTTATATTGGTGATATGAAATAGCATTAATTCATTCTTATACCCTACAATGTATAATCGTATTGAACCAGTCAACAATGAGGCACGTAATGGAGGGGATAAAATCAACCATATGTGTTCTAGAAGTGCTACTAATTCTCAAACCCAAGTTTTCTTAAGGCTTGTTTGTTTTACAATTTAAAAAATTGATTCTCACATTTTCCATTAAAAATGCACGTTCCATAAAAATATGAGTTAAATTGATTTATGCACATCTCAATTATATTCCATAACTTAAAATATCAAAATCAATTATTGGAATGGTTCCAAAGCTTTGAGCAATTATCCCTCTCAACTTCATGGGATATATTTATTATTTATTTGCTTGGTAATTTTAGTAGTTAGGAAAATAAATGTAGCACCAAAGAACATAAATCAGGTTGCTTGAAAAAGTCTATAGCTGAAACATTAAGACTGGAAAGAACATAACAAATTAAATTGCTTATATATATAAGGCTGAAACATGAAAAGTTGAAGAAACATGAATTTCTTCTGAGAACCTGAAATTTACATTATATATATGCTACACTAAGAGTGAATGCACTCTCTTTCTCTCCCCACTTTTTTCCCTCCTTAGTGTTGAGATAAATAAATGTTGCCATAAAAATATGTAAGTAGAAGAACAATAAGAAATAGTTATGTAATTCGACTACTTTCTCCGTGCACGAACTTTCTCCCCTCTTCCTCTTGATTTGTCAATTCTTGCTCTTCTTGAAAACTCTTGAATCTTTCGATCGTGCTCTCTGAGCATCTGATCCATGTTGCTTGAAGAAACCATTAACGGACCAGAGAGGTATATCTTGTTTCCCATGGATCCTCGCCCGTCCTGAAATAATTCCACACATCAATATTCAAGATTCAGCAAGAGTCAAGCCAAAAAATACATAAACAAATAAATAAAATCGCTTTGCCACGGTGCTTAGTTGTCAAATATTTATTGATTGTTGATTCAAACTATAAAAGTTTGGAATTTGGACTCCATTTATTATAAACAATGACCTATAAACGTTACATGCACCTAAAGGGTACCTCTAAGTACTTAAAAAGTACCCCAACTTGAGAGTTTTATAAAAAGGAGAATGAATTTGTAGAAAATTGTCACCGTTTAGGGAAATAAAAGACTATCTTTTGACATTATTAATGGGATTTAGATTCCCTCTTGTTCTTACATAATAGGAGTGTCCTGTTAGAGAGATAAAGATATAGATAGTTCTGAATATAACTAATAGACTTTATAAGCCATCAAGGTAGGTCCTTAGTCCCTACTCAATAAAACTTGGGTCAATCTCTCACCAATAGAATGATCTGATCATGTAATAGGAGATAATCCAAATCCTTATTGATGCATAAAGAATACTTCAACGTCAAAATATTTAGAATTTTATATAGCAAAAGCAAGATTAAAAATAATAATGACAACAACAACTAACCGGGGTTGATTTTTCAGCTGGGACCCTTCTATTTTCAATTTGATTCAGGTCAACAATCCGTTTTTGATCCAGTCTTCGTCTTGACTCTGATCCATAAGCTGATTCCCCTGATTTTCGTACTTCAATTGGTTTTCTGTGGTGTAAGTGAACAAGTTTGTTATCGTCTTGATCTTCAGATAACAAAGTCCTAGATGCCACTAGTCCAGAAAGTTTTGATAGGTTCCCTCTGTTTGGAACAGGAGGCCCATCATCAACGTCCTTCCCACTCTTTGCCCAGCCAGAACCAGGAACCAATGGGCCTGAATGTGAAGGCCTCTTATAGAGATGCCCAGAGTAATTAGTTTCCATTTCTTTAACATCTTGTGAGTGCTTGGGTGGGAAAACCAGAACCCCAGATACAGGTCCCCTATGAGGATTGTACAAATCACTTCGGTTCCTTGAGATGGAATAACGTTGTCCATGCTGCATCAGACATCAATAAGATGAGCTGAGTAGAAAAAGAGATAAAATAAAAGAGGAGGGTTGCACTAGAATACTTAAAAAAATTAATATATAAGGTTTCATTGTTGTAAAGCATGATTGCAATTTTGCAAAAAGTTATGCTTGCAGTAAGCAATAGGCACACAATGCTACATTTTATTTTATTTTATTTTTTGGTATTAGAACTGATGTGTTATCATAACCCAAACTGTTTCAAAGCCATGGATTCTGTTCTTTGCCTCATAGTTATAAAAGGGCATGTGCCACTAAACAAAGAACTGATAAGCAGACGCATAACATGATCAAATCCATTGGCTGATGGTAATAATAACTGGTAATCATCAAACTAACAACTTTCTTTGTATTTCATAACAATTCAATGCATGCCTAAAAATGCTGAACAATCTCCAAGCTGAATCAAGAGACAATTCAAATTATAAAAAACTTCCTTTTCTTTTCCCATAGTTTCATGGTTAGTATACCAAACAGAATTTACACGACATCCCAAGGTATCTCAATAGAGGAGAGGCATAAAAAAAATTGAAACTTGTCTGGATTACCTGTATTGATAAGCCTGAGTCAGAATTGTCTCTTGCTGTGACATTGGCCCTAGGTCCCTTTTCTTGTCTAACTCCTGACACAATTTTTTGCTCCCTACTTCCAACAGCTCCTTGCCTAAGACAGTAAAGTGAATAACAAATTAATAATCCATTAGACATCATTTTAATTACACAGATATTGTTCAGGTTAAGCCATCTAATTCTCATTCCTAATAACAGATTTCATTCTAGAGACTGAAGCCACTATCCTAATACTAATTACTAAAAATGTATATAATTGTTTTGGCCTCAGCATATATAGAATTGACCTATATCAGTACCTTCTAGTTGCTTCATCCCGTAATTTAGCATCAATCTCCTTGCTGGGAGGATAGTTAGGTAAACTTGATGGATCACAAGGCAGAGGCTCTGATGTAAAGAACTGCCAATAAATTGGGAAAATTTCAGAATGGAATCACATGCCTATTAGGCGGTTAGAAAGCAAAAAGGTTCCTAAAATATCATGTTTGACTATATTCTATGAGAAATTTGATTATTATTTCCTACTTCATCAAAAAGGAATACAGTGACAAATATATCTCTTGATTTTCTTTATTAGTTATCTGACTTCATGATTTCATTATCTGCCTTGTATTGAAGGCAATAAGATGCTGTTTAATCACAGAAAGGAAAAAAGAAAAAGAACAAAATGCAGAACAGTATGACTTTTAAAGTGTAAAAGAAGATATATTTGCAATTACATGTAAAAGAAAAAACAACAAAAGTTTTCCCATTAAGCAGAGTAGAAAACATATATCAAATTATCAATCAATTCAATGCCATTAGACTCTATAAACATGTAAAGAAAGAAAATTAAAATAGAAATCATTTTAAAATAACTAACCTGCAGAGTACTCATTTTAGCAGGTGATCATGGAAAACAACATTTAGAATTAGGAACTTATATTAACACATCACTGCAATATCTTATCAAAATGCTTGCAATTAGATATTTCCAATGTCAGGAAATCCCTATACCTCACTTTTCAGAGCAGCTGCTGCAGTCCCTCGATGTGCAGGCTCCACAGAAAGTAGGGTCTCTATAAGCTTTACTGCAGTAGATGAGTATTCCTTAAATGTCTCCGCAACACATCGCCTATAATGGTGTGGAGGCCTGAATACGGTTGAATGTGACAACCGCAATTTTAGCCAATAGTCTTCAGATGGTGAGCCACAAAGTTTAAAAATCCGATGCAACTGCTCAACCTACAAGGAACTAAAATTAACCTTAAGATACATTGTACATACCTATATTAACACAGTATACTAGTATTAGTATCAATTTATAGAATCAGGACCCACCACCTAGACATGCATACATGAGTTTGGAAACTGAAATTGAGCACAAGTGGAGTCCAGTAATTATTTAACCATAAATTAAGGTAAAAGAAGCACAGATGAAGAGAATTCACCCAGTAAAAGGGATAGCAATTTAATATAGAGAAATAATATCATTTTAATCATGTAACTGCAGTACAAAAAAAATAAGTTCCTTTTTAATTCTTGTCGTAAGAAATTTCTACAGACATTAACTATTGAATTCCCATAAATATCTTATATCATCAAAGCCAAATAGGACAGCATTTATGGTGACAAAATGATGGAAACTATATTCATAAACTCTAAGTCTCATACCTCTGTTTTTCCTGGCAAAATTGGCCTGCCAGTATATAGCTCCCCAAGTATGCAACCAGTGCTCCACAAATCCACTGCAACCCCATAATGATTTGCTCCAAGTAAAAGCTCTGGTGGTCTATACCACAGAGTTACAACACGGCTCGTCAATGGAACACTGTGGTGGGGGTCAAAAAAACTTGCCAAACCAAAATCGGCAATCTTTAAGATACCATTATTGTCAATGAGAAGATTTGAGCCCTTTATGTCACGGTGGAGGACACCATAACTATGACAATGATCCAATCCACTAAGAAGTTGCTGCATGTAGCATTTCAGCTAACATACAAAAAATATTGTCATTTCGGGAGTTTTCTTATTGAAAAACAAGTACAAAGTAACATAGTTTCTTATTAAAGTTCAAATAAGGACAAGAATCGCAACCCAATGTAAAACATATGAGTATGACTGAGTAAATGGAAAGAAATCATCACTACCTGTGGTTCAGAGAACTTGATGTCAGGATTTGACGCAAGTCCTGTAAGATCATGTTCCATATACTCAAAGACAAGATATAAGCTGCGAGATGTCTCAGACGTTATCAACCCCTCCAACTTTATAATATTTGGATGGTCAAGCCTACGCAGAACATGGATTTCCCTTGCCATAAACTTGACACTCTCAGGATCAAGATTATCAAAACGCACCCTCTTCAATGCAACAAACTTTTGGTGAGTCACATCGCGTGCCTTATAAACAGTACTGTAAGTTCCTTGCCCAATCTGCATAATAGAATGCCATCAATTTATTCATTTAAAACAAATATAAGAACTTTATACTCACAAAAACAAGACATAATTAAGCCAGCCTAACTGGAATTATCTTTTCTTTACAAAAGTAAGAATGAAATTAACCAAATCTTCAAATAAAAAGCATTGCAGGAAAAAGTGCAAAATGAATTATACACAAAATCTGGTCACCCAGCTTCTATATTGTACAAAATCAAACTTCATTGAGTCTTTTCATTTCTTCGTGAGAAATCAGGTGCCAGTAAAGTGGATACTAGCCAACATCAATACTCATCTATTTTTCATTTTAAAACAGCCACATGACTTCCACAGGAAACATTCTCAGGTTATAAAGTTGAGTAATTCTGAAATGATAATATTACACTATCACCACTGTTTTCCACTCAGCACAATTTGGTTCATAAACTTTAAGCACAAAATGCACAATAAGTGCAGTATCTTTGACATGGTAAGTGTCAAAAGAATTTTTATAAGAATTACATGACAGTTTAATTACAATAAAAATAAACACAAACAGACCAGACAAGGCAGTAACTTACTTTATGTAACCTCTCAAAAGTATTTGCACTCCGCGGTATCCATCCCTTAATAGCTTCACCAGCAACAGAAGAAAGCCACGCAGGCCATCCTGCCGCAACTTGTTCTCCTTCTGTAGCCTTTGGAACCCTTGCAAGGCCCATATGATCAACAACAGTCAATTCAGGCTTCTCTATTTTCTTCTTCCCATTTTGATCATCATACAACAGCACTGATCCATTGACCTTCTTGTCAACTAATGAAGCCTTCACATCACCACCGTCTAATAACAAATCTTTAACCCCACCCCCTTCAACCCTCTTGGTTGAACTCAACCTCAAAACATTCAACTCTGAAGGCCTTGTGCTATATGCTTGCAATTTGTTTGTCACACCTTCTTTGCTGTCTTCTACAGCTGAACTCTTGGAACATATGCAACCCATGTTGGAGCAGAAAGATTAAAGATATTACTTCAACTCTGTGATAATATTGTCCTTCTAGAACTAGGATCACCAATTCACCATTCACCACCAACACATCTTCTTCTAACAACTCCACCAAAACTCATAAACAATCAAAAAAAGCAAAGATGGGAACTTTTCTTCATAAAACTATACCCAATTCCATCTCATAACATACTCTCAAAATGGAAGATTCCAAACTGACCCAAATCTAAAGCAGTAAACTTGAACCAAACACGCAATTCACAATCCACCAACAGCACCACTATACCAACAATCGTTAACTGTCACAGAGGAAACATTTTTCAATAAAGGAGAGGAAATTGAACCAAAAAAATAAAAGTCTCGGATGAAGATGATAACACTGAAAGATTAACTATTATAAATCATGGAATCGATTAAAAAGGAAAAACACTTGAATTAAGCTAAGGGTGAAAATGGGATCAGAAGCTTAACAGGAAAGAGAAAAGTGAGGTGGGTAAGGCTGAAAGTTCAACGCGTATTCAGACATTAAAAAGAACATTATCATCAGCTTAGACAACAACCTTAGACGGCTTTTGCCGGCTAGGCTCAGTCAAAAGACTCCACTTTCTCTCTCACACACACATACACTTTCGCTCTATCTATCTCTCTCTCTTTCTCTAGTGCATGATTCCATATAGTGTGACTCTCTCTCCCTCCACCATGTTCCTTCTGTCAAAGAACGATTGGTGTTGATTTTGTGTTCAAAGCTTCAAAGTTGGTCGTTGAGTTCTGTTTGGAATATGAATGCTCAGCATTAAACGCGTTTTTAATTTTTCTATAATATTTTTATTCAAACTTTTTCTTTCTTTCTTTTTTTTCCATTCTCAGTCACAGGGCAATAGTGCCATTATCTTTTTTAAATTAAAGTCATTCCTTATTGTTCGGTGTGTGGGATACGAAGGATTCCATCTCTATCTGTTAAAATCAATTTGGTATATCTTAGTCTTAAGTTTAAGAATAATTTATTTTGTAAGAGAACTATCTCAACAATATATTAATGATTTTCTAATATATATTTATAAAAAATAATAAATATTACTTTTTATTAAAATTATAACATAAAATGAATTAAATTTTGCCATATTTTATAATTTTAATAAAAATCATACATAAATTTTTCTTATGTATTTTTAGACATATATTAAAAAATAATATATTAATTAATGAGCATATTTATTATTTAGATGCTTTTTATTGTTTATAAAAATAGTATATATCTATTCTTTTTAATAATTTCTATTTTGTTGTTTGATGTCTTTATATAAATATTTTATTTGTATTCCATTTTTTTCTTTTTTATTATTCAGAATGTTCTTATTGACAAATCACACAAGAAAAAAGAAAGGATTAAAAAACTTCTTTGAATTTTCCAACTTAAATAATTATGAGATTATAATTACCAAATTAAAGGTGTCTTTGATTCGTTGTTTTAGGAAGCAGCAAATTAAGGTTTTTAATTTGTTTGGTCATTTATTTGTGGTGATTAATGTCATGAATTGTTTCCTACCTTTTTTTTTTTAATTAACTCTCTCTATCATAGTTAATAGAGTTCTATTTTTGCTAATCGAGGTCATCTTTTGAATCAAAAACTGTATTCAAGCGTAAAAGACAGATTACCTTTCTAAAAGAAAGATGATTTGAACATAAAAGTACTGAATAATATAGATTTAAAAATCCATAATTTACAAGTTTTGAGTCAAAAGACTTATAAAATATAACAATCTAAATACTTAATTTATAATCAATAATCTCATACTTATGTTTCTGTCGAAAAGTCATGGCTATGTGATTGTGAACCAAAACAATCTCTCAAATTATTACTGAACAATTATTGATGAATTTGCTTCAGTATGTGTTTAGGATCTGTCTTCCCTTATACCCCCCAAAGTTTCTAAAATTTAATGTTTGGATTCAAATAATGAAAATAAAATTGTACCCAAAAACCACATCGAAGAATTGTAGCTCAATTGACACTGACATTCTGTTTAATGTTTGGAATTAATTGAAATATCCACGGAATGGAATTCACAAAAATATAATAAAATAGTTATTATCGACTATACTTTAATACTTTATGCTTAATATTAATTCATTTATCAATTATGAAATTGTAATTATTTTTACGAACTTTAAAGGAAAGTGGGGAGCTAACTTTTTAATTACATTTTGCAGCGAATGATTTGTTTAAATTTCCTTTGGTTTAAAGCATGGCATAATTAATTTATATTAAAAATACAATTTTTTTTTAAACTTTAACACCTTGTTTAGATGAAACTTAAGACGACGAGAAAAATATAGGAGATAAAAAAACAGAGTAAAAATATAAAAGTTTGGATATACGAATATATGAAAAAAAAAATTCTATTTGTTTACATTAGTAATAGAAAATAACAAATAAATTATTTTAAAAACTACATTAATTAAAACTTAATTCAAACCAAAAATTAAAATTTGTACTCTATTATTTATCTCTATATTAAATTATTTTTTAGTTTCTATTTATAAAAATATTTAATTTTTATAGATGAGTATTTCTTGTACCTAATATTTTTAGGAATCAATCTTGTTTGAGCTATGTGACTTGTTTATATCGCGTATTTGTAATTTTATTTTAAAATAATATTTTTATATTTAATTTAAATTATATTATATTATATTATATTAAATATATTCCAATTTTCAATTAAGCTTTAATATTATTCCAGTTTTAATTAATTTAAATTAATTTCTAAAATATTAATATATCATATTAACAACAAAATTGTGTGTTGATTTTAGCACTTTAATTTCGTAATTCTATATTCAATCTTAACTTTTCAGACTCTTGTTTATTGAATTTATTATTATTTAATATAATAAATTATTTAATAATAATAATAAATTAATGTTTTTATTTAAAAAATTTAAAAATTAAAATATTCGTGTGTTGCATTAATAATTTGCTATTTTTGTCATATTTTCTTATCTTTATTTATTTTTCTTTACTTTTCCGAACAAATTGTAAAACGAAAAGGAGACTTAAAACATTAATGAATTAAACCAACCCAAAGAGGTCAGCAAAATGCATTAAACTGTAAAAAAAACTATAAATAAATAAATAACGGTGTAAGAATAAAGCACACATGAAATATCTAATCGCTTTCGGATGATTTTGACTGGTAACAATGGCCGTTGAATATCGATGCTTCGAAAAGAACAAAACAATAGAAAGGAAACAAAGATACCGTATATAATATTTCAAAGAGTAAGTAGAATCAAAATAAATGTAAAATAGAAAAATTTAATATATATTTTTTATAATTTTATTTGAATATGTTAATGGTATAAAGAAAATTATAGTATTATTTAATTATAAATTATTAATTTATGCAATAATAATATAAAAATCATATTTACAATATGATAACTAAATGATTAACAATGGGAAAATATTTACAATGATATACTAAAATTGAATTCTATTTTTTTTTTTGTAAAAATTACCGTGTAAATACTAAATAAAAACAATATTGCTCTTTTTAAAATCAACTAAAATTTGTCAAAAGTTAGACTTTTTAAAAACATTTAATTAATTAAAAAATGAAGTGGAGTAAATAATCTAGTTTGCTTGCATCACAAAATAAATAGAAATTAAAATTCCAAAGTTAGTTAGGGGTTGAACTTTAAGGCATGAAGTGAAGGAAGGGGAATACATGACCAGCAATTTGACATCTGCCACAGCCCACAGCAACAACTTTCATTATTTTCAGCAAAAAACAGGTTTATGACCTAACTCTGAAGAGAAAACTACATGTTATGTAAACTATATAGCATAAACAAAATCAACGTATATTAAAGAAAGGAATAGGTGACTTGAATTTAAAAATGACAGAAATTAAGCAGATAGTTGTTAAAATATATTGGTTTTGAATAGGCAAGAGAGCATGGGTCATTCTGATGCTTAGAAAATGTGGAAGCTCAAAGAAAACTCTGAAAGTTTGAAATTTTGGGGGTGATTTTCAAAGGTGAAAGCTTGAATGTGAATGGTGACTATGAGTGTTTGAAAATTAGGGTCAGATAGAAAGAAAAGAAATATAAAAATAAAAGTTTTTTCGTTTTTCAGATAAATAATAATAATAATAATAATTTTAAATTATTTAAAAATTATAAAAACGCTTTTTTATTATTCTATTTTGATTGATACATTTTTTAGAACTTTTTTTTCTATGTTTTGTATTATATAGTTTTTTTAATTTATAATAAATAAATGAAATCGTTCCTTCTTCCTCACCTCCCCCACAATTTATGGGCCCCACGTGTTCTATTTTTATTCCATTCACCTATTTTCTTGCATAAAAATAAATAAATGTTCCTCCCTTCCATTTACTTTTATAATCAATTTTGCAATCTAAATAGGCACATAGTTAATAAATAAACCGTACTATCGTGATTAATATAAAAATTTTATCTACTTTTTTAAAACTATTTATTTTTATTTATACTAATATAAATACAATATTGCTAACATCAGTTTTTGAATTATTTTTAAACAAATAAAACGAAAGATTCTTCATTTTAAAAAAGTATTTGCTGTATTTATATATTTTAATATAATAAATTAAAAATATAAACAAAATCGATATGATAGCATATGTAAAAAGCACAAGCTATTTTAAAACAAAGATTGCTTACACAGTATGATTTGTATTCCATTGTCTCTTCGTTTTATACTTTATGCTTATTTTTTTTAAATTTTTTTTAACTGTTAAATATAAAACATTAGACGTTTTTTACTTTTTTAAGACAGCAGATATATGATTTTTTTATAATTAATTTAGAAAATAAAAAAAATTAATTAAGAAGATATAAAGAATTAAAAAAAACTTAAACAATTTTAACGGTATAAATAACTCAAATTAAAGATAAGATATCAACGAAAATGTCACCGTTTTAAAAAAATCAATGAAAAGCTGACACTGGTTTATTAATGCGCAGGCCACGTAGAATCCAATTCCTTAATGAATGCACCACGTACCAGAAAAAACGTGGTTGCCCTGTCAATTTGACGTAATTATATATATTTTTTCATTTGATTCTCTGAATTTTAAAGAAATTATTTAAGTTTTTAAAATTTTTAAACATATTTTAAATGGGTTTTTCTTCTAATTAAATGAACTATTTTTCTAAATTTTTTTCATTGTTATTATTTACGAATACAAAATATTCTTGCTTACATTACGCACTAACATTTTTTCTACTCACATAAGCATTATTTTTCTCTCACAAATTTACACACAGCATTTTTTCTTCAATGACTTGATGATACACTAATAACTTATTAATATAATTATTAATACAATTATAATTATTGATTTAATAAAATAACATTTTATAACTTTATTAAATCAACAATTATAAACACAAAACCTTTGTTTCATCCATCGACTTACGACACATTGTCCCATAAAATGTCAAAGTCATTCATAGCCTCCAACTCAAGCACTCAATCATCATCTCTATTCAGTGTTACAGTCAAATATACCATAGCAAATCATTACAACAGAAGAGAATGGGGGAAAAAATGATAATATACAAAGAGAAAAAAATATTGTTTAAAATATTTTTAAAAATTATAAATTTAATACAAAACTCTTAAAAAATTAATTAATTAATTAAAAGACTAAAAGTATAATTTTACCTATTAATTTTAATTATATCAAATAAATGAATTTTAAACTAAACTAAATAAAAATAAATTTAATTGGTGCATCTTGTCGAAATCAATGGATAATTTTAAAAGATAAAATTAGTATTTTGATTGATTAATTTTTATTTTTGTTTGTTTTATTCTTTAACTTTTTCTATTTAATTTTTAATGTTTAAACATTGATAAAATATTTTTATATTAATTACATCAATCAAAGCAAAAGAATAGAGAGAAAAATATGATAATAACAAAAAGACGCATAATTAAGAAAAAGGATAAAAAATGATTAGTAAAATTTTTTGTTAACAAAAAAATGTATTTGATTATGTGACCAAAACAAAATAAAAATGTTAAAATGCAATAGAAGATAAAATAGAACACAAAATAAAATAAAAATTAAACAAAAACAAAAAAAAGTTAAAAGATCAAATTATTGATTTTATTTTTTAAAAATAAATATTAAATTGACAAATTTAAATAATGAAGACAGAGGCAATTGATCATTTATTAATTTTAAAGATTATAATTTTTCATGATTTTAAAATTAAAATGATTAATAAGTATAAATTTTAATTCTGTCATAGATATAATTTTTATATTAATTATGATAAAAATTAATAACTATTACTAATATGATAATTCATAATTCAATAATAATATAAAAAATCTTTACATTATCTGTACATTTAAATTAAATTTAATAAATATAATGTTCAATTCTATCCTTTTTGTTGAAAAATTATTCAACAATTTAAAATAATTGACAACTATTAATTTCAAACGATTAAATTATCTCTCGTGATTTTAAAAATACTTAATAAACATGTTTTTAAGGATTAATTTAAATTTACTTAACAAATAATGCATTAAGATAACCTTTAAAATTATAAATACAAGAAGATACAAATTCTTTCGTATATTCCCCTTAATTTAAATATTACATTGCTAGTGGTGAAAAATCATTGAAAAAAAAAAGAGATTAGAAAACTAAAACTAGAGCGCAGAGACAGAGAAACGGGCACTGCTGAGACAGCTACATAGTAATTAATCAAAGAACAGGAAGTGAAATTTTTGAGGTTTGTGTTGAGAATGGGAAAATCAGAAGAGGAACCCACTTCATCGATGCATCCACCTTCTTCGTACACCTTACTACTAAACATTATGAGCAAAAGGAGGACATGGGCATGTCTCTTTTTCTTTGTTTATGGTACCCTTTTGGCTTCTTCGTGGAACTTCCTCAAATCCACGCTTTCTTGGTACAATTTGCAGGCTCAGTCATCATCCTCTGCGTGGCCTGCACTCTATGCTTCTGTGCTTCTTGGAACTGTGTTTGGTATTCTTTCCATGGTTGCAGCTTTGGTTGTGATGGTACCAGCGGTCATGGTGACATGGATCACTGTTGTGGTGTTGTTGGCTTTCTTTGGTAAGCCTAGGAAGGATTTGGTGGTGGAGGGTAGGAAGATTACAGGGGAAATTTTCAGTTTCGTGGTGAGGATTTTGTTGAAGGAAGGGAATTTTGTGGCTGCGGTTTGTGCTGTTTTAGGGTACTTTGCTCTTGTTAGAAGAAACGGCCAAGATGGTGGCGGTGTTGATTGATTGGTTTGGGGGATTGTTAATTGGGTTTTTTTTTGCAAAATCATGCTGGTGGATGTGATCTGGTAAAGGGTCTTAATCTTTTTGTTTGGGGGGGGGCGGCATAGGTGAAGTTTAAGCGTTGAAAATGTTACTTACTGAGATGTTGAGATGCTAAATTGATTGATGATATCATGGTAAGTCTTGGTGTATGCTATTGCTGATTCATTAATTTTATTGCTTCTTATAAGCTCGTTTTTGTTTTGATGATTGTTAGATATGTTTTTCAGAAGTTGTTTTGCTTGGTTTGGTAATTTGTTCATTAAATGTTTCTGAATTCGAAAATTAGAACCCAAAAGAGGGAGGGAATGGAAAATATCTGAGGTGTACGGAATATTTCATTTGAGCGTTGAAGGGAAATTAGGTAGTTGAGTGAAGTTTAAGGTTTATTGAGAATCTCTAGAGTTTTTAGTCCTTTCAAATTAGCTAAACCGTATGAGAAGGCAAAGTGTTCCTTACTTTTCATGCCTGGCCAAAAGAAATACCATATTGTCTCTTGTATAAGTACGGATTATTCTGAAATTACTCCTATTAGAAGTTAAGTTTTTGGTTGAAACATCCTTCGAAATGCAAAATTGATCATCGAACCCCTGCCAAATTAGGTAACATCTGTCCACTACTGGTGGCTCTGATTTCATCAATGATATTACTAAGTACTCAATGCTATTTCCAGTATCTGAAGAGAAATGTTTCTTTTCAGAGAAGATTTTGTGCATGGACCCTCAAAGGAGACGTGGGCTTATTGATATAAGTTAAAAATGGGAGATAGGAAAAAAGTGAACTTCTATGAGATGTCTGTGTAGATTACTCAATACATATTTGGTATCTGAATAGTGAATACTTCTTGTTCTTAAGTTGTTCACAGGGTTTATTTCAGAGTATTAGGGTAAATAAAGTTGTTTTGAAAGATATCTTCCACCAGTTTCTTGTCTCCCAATAGTGGCAAACATTGTGGATTGAGGCCTAACATCTCATCACCTTGACTACCTTTAGTTTTCTTCCTTGTTCTAGTGGCCCAAATGCATGAAAAATGGAATCTAAATCTTAATTGTAAGAAAGGGGGTTATTTTTTGTACATAAGTTGATTGATGAGCCGTAAATAAAATGGAAATACATGTTTTAATATAAATTTATGACTTGAGCACACATTTTAGTGAGTTCAATCTTAATACACTATCAATAAAAATATATCATATATATGATTTTTATATTAATTAATATAGAAATTAATAATTTTGTTGATATGACAATTTATTACTGGATAACAGAACAGTATTATTATTTTTTTATACAAAACTAGAATCGAAATTTAATTATACATAATATTTTAAAATAAATTTAATTAAAATTAATTCTATCCAATTTCAAAAGAAACGCCCCAAAAATACATAATAATATCTGAATTTGGAATTGGGCTTGTGCAGATGCCCAACCAACCAGGCTTTGTTGCAGATTATCTTTTCTTGCGACTTCTTTCACAAGAAGGAAGCCAGTCAAGCAGTAAAGATTCGCTTGCACCATTTGGACTTCAATTTTTCTTTTTCTCTTTTCTGTTTCATTTTTAGTTGACAAAAATATACAATAATCAAACTTTTTCTTTTCTCTATTCATAACGTTTGAATTTATCTGAATAAAAAAGATTACATAATTAAACGTACTTGCACTTTGATAATAACTTAATTATTAAAAAAAAGATTTCAAAAAATAAAAAATGTAAATATTTTTTAGATAAATTAATCTAAATACGCATAAACTTTTAAACTAAGAACACTGAACACGCAATTGGATTATTTTCTTAAACGCCTAGATTAGGAGAAACTTTACACTGTTAATTGTTTCTTACTTCAAATTAGTGGAAAGTGGCAAAGTGAATGTTGCAAATTATGGAGGAGATGAACGTGTATTGCAGCTTTACCGACAGTCCCTTCTCTCTGCGTAAGGTTGGGGTCCATTGTAATAAACTATATATAGGTTTGGTTTGAGTTTAGAAAAACAAATTAAATAATGCATGCCTTAAAAATTGAAAGGACCAAAAGGTACACTAATGAACACTACTCATAATAAATATTAAACAACACAATTGGCCATTTTGCTTTATTTAATAAAGTCCAGATTCTTTGTTGCTTAAGGTTCTTAGATTTGCTACAGTGATTTATTAAGTTCATGGATTTTGTATGGTGATTCAACTAGGAGTTTCTTTGAAGTTGTTTTGGACTTTGCCCCTAAAGACCCGCAAAGCAATGGTCAAAAAATCAGACATATTATCACTCATAGACCAAACCAAGCTGGATATAGTTGCGTTCATAAATCTATTCAATGTAATGTGAACTAACAAAAGTTGAACTGAACATTAAGAATTGAATTAATTAAAAGAAAAGAAAAATTAAAATCTCAAACATTGAAATTTGTTTGTTTAATTGGATGGGATTTCGAATTTTATTTTGAAAATTTATCAAATTCAAATATAAGTTATGTGAATATACATGATTTGATTTATAAAGCTAACATCTCATTCATACGCATACAACTATATATTTATAAATTTGCAATACTTAATTATATTTTCATGATTTTACTAATAAGGCTATACTTTTTTTAGAGATACATTTTTATTATTTTTATTATTTTTATGTATTTATGAGTGTATGTTTTATATTATTTTAAATTATCAGTTTTGTTCAGATCAGAGTAAATTTAAAATTTTATTCAATCTAATAAAAATCAAACTATAATATAATTTTATGATGAAATGGAATAGTATATATATAAATTAATCCAATTTATTCCGCAAACACCTTTGTACAGTTGATAGCTCCCCAAAGAGTAATGGATGCAGTGTTATTGTCATGTGGTGTGAGTTGAAGACATATTTATTTTGAAGCAATGGCAGAACAAGTGAAAGAGAAGGCCATCAAGTGCTGCACCCTTGACTGAACTTCAAGTGCACACTATGGTCAACACATGTCATATCCCATGAAGATGACCCTTGAGCTAGTTATTTTAACCAAAAAAGAAAACGGAAAAATCGGAAAAAAAAAGAAAGAAAAAAGTCTAGTGAGTAATTTATAAGGTAATCAACATCTTTTAATGGTGATAATTTAAGTGAAAGTAACAGGTAAAATTAAAAATTGTTTTTTGAATGGTAATAACCTAATGATATTCTAATCCAGAAAACAAGCGAGCGAGAGACCTGGTGCACTGATATTTTTTCACTTAAATTCCCCCTTTTGCTGTTCACTGAAAGAGAACAGAAAAACCTTATAGATAAAAAGAATAAAAAAACACAAAGATGGGATAAAATATTAATCTTTAATTTTGAATTGGAAAATATGATGAACCGCTCTTAAAATTGGAAAAGTCAACAACCATTGAAAAATGGGCCAAATCCCTATATAACAGACAAAACCAATGAAAACTGGGGGGTCTAATGATTTGAACCGCTCTTTAAACTTTTCACTCAACTAAGAATATATTTTGAGTGAAATAGAGTAAGTTATAAATAATATCCAACTATGAGGCTCACAAATATGCAAAAGCATGAGATGATTTGGCCCTTCTGAACTTCTTATTTATGCTGCTCGCTTAAATATTACTGTGGATTTGAAATCTCATTAAAAAAAATTTAAACATAAATCTAATACAAAAGTTATGAATAGCAATGTTAAAATAAATATAAATTAATCATACTTTTTTTATATTATATAAAAATAACAAGTATACCCTTCTTTTAAGGTGTTTCAAGTTTGAAAGCTAACAAATTACATTTGAAAAAGTGAAAATAAATCACTACTGTCGTTTAAGTGCACAAGATTTTAAATATAGATTCATTACCATTTAAAAGTAAAACTAACTATGTTTTGTTATATTGTATGTAACTCATAAATATAAGTTTTCCTTATGTTTCATTTGGAAGTAGAGGAAAAAGAAGAATTTGAAAAGTAATGAAGGAAGAAAAAAGTTTAACCAAAGATTTCAATTTTAAAAATTTAAGAACATAAATTTATAAAAAGTTTTGAAAGGTTTGTAAAAATTCTCATTCACATTAAAAAATGTTAAATAAGGATGATATTTCATGTTTAAAGTTTGAAAGCTAACAAATTCTGTTTTTGAAAAGTGAAATAAATCACTCTAGCCTAAGTGCATGTTTGAATAATGACATCAATTTGTTCTCTATATACTTCAAATTGGTAGAAGTTGCCTTGTCTAGTGTTATAAAAAGTACATATCAAATTTGTATACACGTAATTAAACACACACTAAATTAATTTTTAATTGCATAAGATTATGTTAGGAGAGAGTCAACGTCAGAATAAACAAATTATGAACCTGTGTTAGGAAATTTTGATGACAAGTAAAATAAAATGAAATATGACGAAATAAAATAGAATTTAATGAAATGATGAAGTTATTATTTTGTTATTTGAATGTTTTTAAAGGGAAAAAGGAGTAGCTTATAGGGTGTCCACACAATTATAGGTTAGAAGTATCCACAAGGTAGAGTGGTAGACAGTCACAGTGTGAAAAATGGCTTTGAGTCGAGAGCAACTGCCATCCCCTTGTTAGTTTCTGGTAATTTGTTCATCAAGACATTGTTAATAAATGCATAAAATCAACCTATAAGCATACAAAAATTGTCTAAGTATCTTTTCTTCCACTGAGCCATTGGTTCTATTTTTTTATATGGCATGGATCAAAATGTCAAAAGTCATCATAACTTAGCTTCTTACTAAACAATATTCAAAACATTGTATAATTATGCAGGAGTATATCAATGCTGATGAAAGCTAATAATCATATAAGCCTTTGTACGAGTGGTAATTGGAAATATAATTATGTAGGATAGTTCCATATCTATATTATAGTGAAACTGAAGGTTGTTTCGCTTGATTCTATAAGGAGTATGATTATCTTTCTAGCGTAAATATACATGTATTTGAGAAAAGGTTAATCATTATTGTCCCTTTTCTGAGCATATTTATGAAATAAGATGAATCATTCTCCATCTGGTCAATGCAAAATGATTTATCATTCTCTTTGCCTTTCTGCTTGAAAAAGACTAATAACAAAATCCATCTAGCACTTACGTTAGCTCATGAATAATTAGATACGTTTATGATACAAAAGTGATGCATTTTGTTTTTACTCATGGCTGGCCCAGCATAATAACTCAACCCGAAGCTCATCCCATACAGAATAAATAAAAAACATATAACTTCTATTAAAAAAATATTTATTACACTTTTGTATCTCTTTTGTAATAAATATTTTGTTTATTAAACAAACGCTTCATGTAACTTCTATTTCAGCTTATCCTGTCCTTTTCTTTGCCTTTTGGATGGCAACTCTTGAATCTGGTAAGCAGTAATGGGATATGAGAGTGAGCAAACCATCAGATTAAGAGGGAAACTGGCTTTTGCTTTCACAAAGAGGTCATAACTACTTTTGACAAAAATGTAATGTATCAGTTGTTAGGTGTTGGTTATGTCTTTATTAATATAGCATTTATCTAATGTTAAGTTAAATTTTTTGTGTTAATATGATATAACATGTATATCATATTAATAGATAATTTTATTGTTTTAGAAAATTAATATGTATGATCAATATATCGTACTGTTAGTATAATATATCAAATTATGAGTATAAATATAATATATATATATATATATATATAATTTATATTAATATAATTTGATTAACTGTAGTTTTTTCATTAGTATATGACTTTTTTCGTTGGTTACTTGCTATTTTTGGAAGGAATGAATTTTTTATCAGTAAAGACAGTGATGCGGGACCATATCTAATTTTGGCGATTGGTTTGGTTGGAATTATAGTTGATTAACAGCCTGGTTTATGCTTGTATAATTGATTGAGTTTGTTGTTTAATAAGAAAACAAAAGTAATGTTATGAAGATCGGGGCAGAGCTGATAAATTGATAACATTTTCTTAAAGTTGAAAGTTGAAGTATGAACAGTCTTATGGTTTTGACTTTGGAAGATTGTAATACAATTTGCCTACAATTTTCTAGCAGTAACTATGCAACAGCTAAGAGCTACTCAAATTGAGCCATTAATGTTTACCAAAAGGAAAAGAGCCATTCATCAATCATTCCAAAATGGAATCATTGGGAGCATATTTCAAATTAAAAAGTTAACTATGAGTTAGATGTGCTGACCTCAATGCCCAAAACAAATTATTTGCCATACCAGACTATAAAATGCAACTATTTTTATTATTAAACCCACAAAGATACAACTAAATGCATATTTATTTTCTTTATATGGAAATTATTGTTTGTGATGAAAATCAAAATGCATACGTGTTATGATATCAAATGGGGTAGCAAAATAAAATAAGAAAGGGGTAGCTGTCCAAATTGTCCAAGCATGAAATGCTTCCATGTGGAATTTGCCAACATCTACAAACAAGTAAAGCTTTGTCTGACGAATCTAACACTTTATGCAGAATCTGGACCTAGTGAACACTGAGAAATAGTTTTCTTTCTTTCTTTTTGTTTTTTTACCTTTTTTTTTCATTTTTTTTATTGCTGAACATGGTAAAAGACACAAACACAACAAAGTGGCCCACTTTACCTGTGAAATTGAAAGATACGCTCCTTAAAATATTAGAACTGAAGAAAGGTTCACACTTCCCAGATCTAAATCCAAACAACCTGATATTCTGATACAAACATTTCACCACACTCTCACCTTCTTCCTCACTTTTAATTTTTCCCTTCAACCTAATCACATTTTTTTCACTGTTCTGATACAAACAGGCATGTGAGTCTTTTTCAGTGTTCTCTATTACTTCCTTCTATGGGGTAGAAGCACAAGCATTCTCCATTTCATGAATAGGTATCAAAACTTTAGCTCATCCTACAAGACCCTTTGTTAAAGCAATCTGTGACCCTGTCAAAGTTGTAGTCATTATGCACTCAGCTTCTTAAAGGTAATGCTTTTATGGTCCATTCATGATCTTCACAAGGGGAAATAGAGAGATCTATACATTCTGATCATTTGGGGTCTTAGGAACGGTTACATTCACATCCGGGTGTGAAGGTGTGGGTTCAGTGATCTTCACCTGGTGCCATTAACAAGGTGACCCTTTGAATAGAGAGCCAAAAGGGTATCTTGGGATCTCCTAAATCTGTTGAATTTCTCTGGTTTGATGTTGCAAAAGGTGTGCAAGAGATATAGAAACATGGTGGTTGGAAATGGTTTGTTTTATCCCGTTTTTGGTTTTGCATCACTGGTGTTGTTCATTTATATGTCTTTTGGAGACGTCAGGTTTGGATTTGAGGAAGAGCCTGAATTGGCTTTTGTGGAGAGAAACGGGTCACAGTTTGTGGTGGATGGAAAAGCGTTCTACATTAATGGGTGGAATTCTTACTGGTTAATGGTGCAATCTGTGGATGAGTATTCTAGGCCCAGGGTACGTGAAATGCTGAAAGCTGGGTCCAAGATGGGTCTCACTGTTTGTAGAACTTGGGCATTTAATGATGGTGACTATAATGCCCTTCAGACTTCCCCTGGAGTGTTCAATGAACAAGCTTTCAAGGTATTGTATTATAGCATGTGATTTTCATGCTTATGTTGCCTATTGTTACTCCTAGGGTTTCATTTTTTTTTTTTTGGACTTATTTTTTGGCTTTTCTATGATTGACTCTGGTTGCTGACATAACTAGATTTTGATATGGACCAAAAAGAAACTAGATTTTGATGAGTGTCTAGTAGTGGGACGTTAGATATGTTGTTATCTTTGCACTCACTTTTTGTTCTTTTCCCCTGAAATTGAGCTTTTGTGGCTGGAAGCTTCCAAAACTATGTTTGTAATTTTGTATGTGTGATTGGTATTGCTGAGATTCATTGGGGGCTAGGATCAAACTATGCAGAATTTGTGGAAAGAGCTTTTAAATTATAACATGAGCCATGGCATGCTTGTTGTAGCAGAGCTGAATATTGTGGCCACATTTACCATTGTTTTTGGAAAGTTATATAATATCATATGAGGATGGATACAAACAAAATGTGAGAAACAGTGTCTGTGTGTGTGATCTCAGTCTTTGTATAATAAAGTTGGAGATCATCTTTGTGTTGTTTGTCCCTATGCCTCTGCAACTGTGCTCATGTTTCAACGTGAAGTACAATAGACTCGTGTAACTTTTCTTCCTCCTTACTGCATACTTAATCAATGAACCACGTGAAATTCTCCCAAAAATGGTGTGTGTGGTTCTGACTAAAATTTGTTTATAATTGATATGCCAAAATTGAAAGTTCTGTGTGTGCTTACATTTAAAAAATTTCAATACATGTTTTTTAATATAGTCATTTAGACGTTTATGATGAATTCCTTGGAAATTTGTGTCTTATTGTATCTATCCTTCAAGTCATGCCTGATAGAAATGAAAAAATGCTTGATGTTTAGCATTACTGTATGATAAATGAAAACCATGTTGAACGATGGTTGGGTGACAGGCCTTGGACTACGTTATAGCAGAAGCAAGGAAACATGGAATTAGGCTTCTCCTTAGCTTAGTAAATAACTTGCACGCATATGGTGGGAAGACTCAATATGTCAAATGGGCATGGCAAGAAGGAGTAGGGTTAAGCTCATCTAATGATTCTTTCTTCTTTGATCCATCAATCCGTAGTTATTTCAAGAATTACATCAAGGTACGATATGTCTATCTTTTTACTGTTCTTCTCGCTCCCTCCACCCTATTCTTCCGTGTTCCGAGAGACACAACCTTAGTGATAATATGTCTCTATGATGCCTTAACTTAGAAATTAGTAGCCCTAACCTTTGATGATTTGTGCTTGAAAAATTGTAGAGAAGCTAGACAAGTAGATGAGATGTTGGTTTTTGCTGGTCAGACCTGTTTGGCATTTGAGTGTTTCGCTTAGCCTAACCCCCCCCCCCCCCCTTTTTTTATGTTCATCAGAATTATATCTTATTAGCACCCATTTGAAAATTGAGCCTGGAGATGGCATATTAACAGAGAAATATTCTTCCATTCATTAAATCTTAATATGTTGTCCATGCAACCTTGTTTGGAAGCAAAGAGGACCCATTGCAAAGCCTTTTCTTTTATTCAAAACAAACCTTATTTTGAAGCTTTATTGACTATCTTTATTTTTATACTAAATTTGAAACATATGAAGTGATTTACAATTCTCTAGAGTCTAGACCATGATCATGATCTATGGTTCAAATAATGCTGACAATGTTTTCAACAAATCCATATCCATTTATTTAGAGTTAAGGTCTTTTTATCATTAAGATCAAGTTTAAGAAAAAATAGAGGATTAATTATGAATTTCTCAATTTTTTGTATTGCACTATTGTTTTCTTCTCCTTCATAACATGCTTTCTGTTTTTCCATGCCTATTGTTTTATTACACGACACTACTATTTCCTGCTCCTGCAAATGAAAACAATGATTATCCGTAGTCCTATCCCTCCTCTTGGTTATCCTTTTGCTCTTGTTTTACTGGTCTTAGATAATTAAGTGTTTCCTTTCAATTTGGCTACAGACTATTCTGACAAGGAAGAATACTATAACTGGAATTGAATATAGAAATGACCCCACCATTTTTGGCTGGGAATTGATTAATGAACCTCGGTGCATAACTGATCCCTCTGGTGACACTCTCCAAGTAAGTCATGTACCTGTGCTTTAATCCCTTCAAATATTTGTAGAAATACCATGCCTTCAATATTAATGACTAATTCAAAATTGAAACAAGTACTTGAATGATTCCAATATCTCTGTTCATTCCTTGATTTTTATTGTTTAATAAATGGTTATGATCTCAGATGATCTATGTCCTTTTCTAGCAATTTCCTCTCCACTTTGTAAGCTTACCCATTCACACTGAATTCAATATTAAGGGATTACTCCAAATTTTTTACATTATTCTGAATCTTATGATGCTAATTCTGATATTGTTATTTTGATATCCCAGTTGGGAAATATATGTAAGAAAGGGGGTAATGCTTGATAATTGAAACCTTTTAATTTACATATTTAAATCTAACAAGATGCTTACTTTTTTTTGTCCAAAATTAAACGAGGAAAAAATTTCAGAATAGCATTATTGCTTTCTTTTTGTTGAGTTCAGAAGGGAAAGAAAACATAGTAGTGTCACTACTTATCTGAGTATAGTCATATACAGTTTACTTATTTGTCATAGAACTGCAGGATTGGATAGAGGAAATGTCAGCTTTTGTCAAATTGATCGACAAGCGCCATCTGGTGACTGTTGGACTTGAAGGTTTCTATGGTCCTAATGACCCAAAAAGGTTAACTGTTAACCCTGAGGAGTGGGCATCTAGACTTGGATCTGACTTTATAAGGAACTCCAACATCTCAAATATTGACTTCACCTCTGTCCACATCTACCCTGATCACTGGTAAGCATTGTGTGACTGCTAAATCTGTTGTTTTGAATTTTCTTATACTTTTAATAAAAGGAACTAAACTTTAGTAGTTCCAGAGATCTCTAACATGCAGAATGGAACCTTTTCTGCTATGAGTTTCTCATGTTTTTATCTTGAAGTAATCAACTATCTCAGCAATGTGTTTAAAATTTGCACCTATGACCTTTCTTTTGATTTGTATTCAGAAGTACATATCTAAGTATTCTTAAGAATATTACCAACATACTCTGTAATGCACTCTTTCTTTGTTATAAGTTGAAAATTATTAAAAATCACAAAAGTTATGTGGGTCCAGCTTCTAATTGAATGCGTTTCACTCATGCTTTTGTAGTTTTCAATAAATTTCAACCATTAATCAAGAGTGTTAAAGAGAGTGTGTTCTTAGCTTTCCTCATGATAATTTCATATAAAGATTATTCTTTTCTATTATGCCCTTTATTTAACTTTTTTTTTTTTTTTGCATAGGTTTCATGAGCAGGTATTTGAAGACTACATGAAATTTGTCGCTAAGTGGATGCTTTCCCACATTGAAGATGGTGACAAAGTGTTGAACAAGCCTGTCTTGTTCTCTGAATATGGATTATCAGACATAAATTTTACGTTGTCTGAGCGACACACGATGTATAAAACAATTTTAGATATAAGCTACAAATCTGCCAAGAAAAACAGGTCTGGAGCTGGTGCTCTAGTTTGGCAATTCTTAGTTGGAGGAATGAAGGAGTTTACTGATGATTTTGGGTTGATCCCATGGGAAAGGTCGTCAGTTCATTCACTATTTGTTGAACAATCATGCAGATTAGCCAAGGTCAAGGGGTGGACTCAAAAGGACACAAGTTTTAAACAATTTTGTTAAAACAAGTTGTGGAAATCGTGGCCCTTGATTGAAATGGAGAGAAATATGAGTTCTTTTGTGGTTTAAGACTGCTAATAGGTGCATGCGTGGTTTTGTACAATATGCTCCTATTTTCATCACCAATGCTTAAGTTGGTTGGTGGGGTATATACAGTGTCGTAACATAGATTAGATATTATCATAAACAGTTTTCTTTTTTAAAGCTTGTAATCCATATGAACAAAATTTACAATGAAGTCTTTTAAGATGTGAGGAAAAAAATTATTGAAGTAATACAAGTAATCTAATTAATCCAAATTGCCCCGCTGGTTGTACGTTTAGAATTATCAAATCATTAATCATTGTATTTGCCATCTGATTTTATGAATGTTTAAATGGACACCTCGCCATACGAGGATTTGGTTTCATATTTCATGAGAATTTATTTTAACTACTTTTAACTTCAATGCTCCGGATACTTCCCTTTTATTTCTCCCGAATTTTAAACATGATTTATGACGAGTAAGTGATGTCACTTCAAACTTGGAAGACCACTCGTTTAGTCTAGCCGTTGGGTTTTTCATTTTTTCTAATCACCACGCCAGTGGCTTCTTTACCCAAGTAGTTGCGACTAGTTGAAAGTTGAACCTACCACAACAAGCAAAATAGTGCTCATTTAGATATAAAACGAATTATGAGCCTCTAACTCAGGGATCAAGATATCAACCTTTGTTCTGCTCAGTTCTTTTAGACAGAAGTTCAACTTTAGGTCGGTACATGCGCTGTCCACTAAAATAGCAATCAAATTCCCACTTTTTCTTTTAATATTCAATGAATGGCATTTAGGCACATAATTTGTAACAATTTTGCACCGGTTTGTTCATGCTTCTCTAACCAGCTCTGTCTATTAGGATCAAGTGGCAAACAGGTGATTGAAATCCACGTCCAGTTTGTTTTCATTATTTAGCCGTCAAATTTGATAACAAGAAACCAAGTTAGAAAACCTAGCATACTGAATGGGTTATTTTCTTTTTGTGGTCTCAACGGAAGAAAAAAATTATATCTCCTAACTACTGGTACCTACGATTCTACGGAATAAGCCGTTTTCTGCCAGCATGTAACAGCAAAAATAATCAGAATTTCACCCGCCAAAACTAATTTTAAACGTGAGAACTGACTAATTACAATGATAAATATGATCATCAAAGAAAGCAAAAAAATGATCTACCTATCCACCAAACAGAAACAAAATATAATCACAGCCACCAACTTAACAACAGCCTTCACATGCCCAGATAAATTTTTTTAAAACAAAGAAAGCTTTTTAGTCTCGTCTTCTGTAGTCCTCTCTACATATCTTCCCGGCGTCAATCCTGCAGACATAATAAAAAACATGAACAATGGAGTAGATAAAAGAATTGTCAGGTCGACAAGACACAGGATGGAATAAATCAAGATACATGATCGAATACCCCATGCATAGCCTTTGTGTGAAATAGGAAATAGATCAGCCGCAACTATAACCCAAGGGCTAAAATGTTAATTTTTAATATTTTAACAATTAAGGGCTAGTTCTTTTATTTATATTATTATACTTTTTGATGTAAATATATTTAATTTATACTTTATAAAAGCAAAATGTGCTTTATTAGAACATTGGTACCAAGGCTATCGTCCATTAAGGAATTTACATGACATCGCAGCCATGAAATCATAAGTAATACAAATTATGGCCAAGCGGGATACTTTATTCATCAGAAACCTTAATAGCTCACAAATAGCAGCATGTTCACAAAATACACAAACTAATGGTGATCTCAATATTAATGCAGTGTAGTGGAAGCAGTCAAGTTCTAACAAGGTAATGTGAATTATGCCTTCTTCAATATTACATGTATATGAACAACAAAGACTACCACACATAAATATCTGAAGTCTAGCTCCATCAACCGCATAATGTAAAAGGCACTTAAACTCTACTGGAGAGAACAAAGCAAAATGAAGCATCTCATACTGCGAGACAACAGATTGAGCTTTGCAGGAAGATAACATAACATAGTCTAGATGATTGTAATGACGCACAATGAGAAGAACTGATTGGAATGTTATATGGCCAACAAGTAGATACACAGCTGGAAAGATTCAAACCAGGAGAGAAAGATGCCACAAAAACATATTTTCAGAAGCTTAAAAAAGAAAAATAAATAAGTCTTAAATTATATCATGAATACCTTGCTAAAATAAAATACTTAAGCAACGAATTTTTTTATGGAAATTAAAAAGAAATCATAAAAATTAAACATTATAATTGACCCTTGTTTGCCCACATCGATTCCCCATTTCCAAACCCCGTCCTTGATTTTAAGGTTGATTCTGAAAATTTCCCCTCCATGTAAAAAAAATAGATATCAGTTTTTCAAATGTATAAATCAAATCCAAAATTGCATGGAAAATAAACACAACATATAAAATGCATTCTATTTCAAGCATGATGACATTTAAAAAAGTCAATAATTGCATGAAAATCATTATCAAACACAAGTTTGTAAAAAGACACCAATCAATATCAGTATCAACAGCAACTGACCAGTTGAATACCAAACACGTGACAGAAATTCAAACAAAGTGTCAAATAAGGGTTCATGTCATAACAATGCGAGTTGGAGGAGTCATTGCCACAAATTCATTGAGCATGGGAGGAAAAGGTGAATTGAATATTCATGTACAAACATGATGAGGAAATTCATTGCCTGAGTAATCATTCATGTGCTATGTCTTTATAACTGAACATTTCCTTAATTGCATGACAAACTCCCCGATATCAGTCACACAGGGGAAGAAAAACAGAAACAAAATTTATTTGCTCAACAGCAGCCTTGTCTTGTCGATCTTGTCTATCCACAAATGATTAACTCAATGACATGAAAACAATTACACCAAAAACACTAAATTTAGACACCACAATATACAAATAGAAATTACCTCAATTCACGGTCAACTCTGGGATTTTTTCCCTGTAACAATCTGGAATATCCGGAGGCCCCTGCTGAATGCTTCATTGAAAAGAATTCTGGTTTGCATATTCTGAAATCCGGGCAACCATGATAGTAGTGCCACAGGAGCCATAACAATGACTCCAAACATTATATCATATAGACGAGCCACTGAAACAACACCATTCCAAATGAAAGTGGACTGCAAAAATGGCCTGAATACTTGAGCAATAGATATCAAGCCCCATCCAGTAGGAATGAATGCCAACAGGCTAGTAAAAATATCCATGAATTTGAATTCAGTGAATTCCAACAAAGCAACTATGACAAGTATTCCAAGAATTATGACAAGGAACTGAACCAGCCGATAATAGATATGCTCTTTTGCTGCATATTTGTTCCGGGCATACACTATCGCCACATAAATCCCAGATACAACAAACACATAAATCCAAGATAGCAAGTAAACAGCAATACTGGTACTTCCAGCAGAAATACCTAGCTGATAGACGATTCCATACTGGAAAAAGAAGAACCGAAGATCTAAGATTATCTCCAAAAGCTTTCCCCAAAGGCCAGTTACCTTTAGGTGATCCTGCTCTTCATACCACCACCTTTCCCAGCTCTGTTCAGCTTTAGCAAACACACTTCCACTGTACCAAATCCAGTTCATAAAGTCATCAAAATCATAAACAGTTTTTAACCAATCAAAGCCAGAAGGATTGAACACAAATGGTGCCATAATCCAAGATGCAACTAAGAACCAACTGGTGATGGTCAAGGCTATATAAACAAATGTATCAGTTGCTACAGGACTATGAGATGCATAAATTATAAGAATTAGCCCCAGTTCAATTGCTTTCACAAAATGGCTACGGGCAAAGAGTCTATAGATTTCAGCAAAACCCTTGTGCTCTACAACAAAACCACGACCAGTAGCTCGATATTTCGCTCCACCATGCAGAACAGTCCGACCAAAGAAATGACTACGAGTGCCCATAGAGAATGTGTAAAAAACTGATGAAAGCTGGAGCTGCATTGTCAAGAAATCCCAAATAGCTTGAAGGAACCCATGCTCAAGGGAATTCTCTACAATCATTGGAAGGGCAGTGAAAAGTCCAAGTTGGATGATGAATTGCTGATTCAATATGGTACCAAGTGCCTTATTGTTGTTGCTATTACTTTCCATTGCTTTCTCAACACCACTAAGGGCAAGATATAGTCGACCCCATAAAAATGCATATACAGTCAGAACCACCATCATTGTGTTGAAGAAGAATCCCACAGTAGTATAGAAGAATGACAGCATCCGGAAAAAATCCAGCCTATGACCCAATCTGTACACATCTCTACTTAGGATTTGCTCCCCATTTCCACTGGCAACTTTAGCTTCAAACATTGATACTTGATTCAACCCAACATCCCTTCCCTTTCCAACTTGAATGTATTCATGGTGAGTGACATTACCTCCACGAAGAGTACAATTAAATCCGGCAAAAATGTCCTCACTTATGTTGATCACCCTGGAAGCTTTACTGATACCACCTCGAGTCAAGAACCAAAATCTGTCAAACACATCTGGATGACCATAATGCATTCTAACCTTCAAAGGATTTGCCAAAACCCTCTGTCCTAAGGTGACAAAACTAGTTTCCTGAGCTGACATGAACCAAGCAAGAGAGGAAACAGAACCAGTAAAAATGTGTTCCCTAACTCCCAGAATAGTGGGTTTCCGGATACCATAGTAATGCCTGTATTCTTCCAAGAGATTCCGCATTTTAAGTGCCTCCTCAAAGTAGTTGTCCTGATTCATATCAATAGTCTGAACTGCATCACCACGAGTGAAGATGATGGCATGATTCTGGTTTTCTGGCTTCCCTTCCCCAAGCTTCAAAGGACCTGGCAACTTTACACGGTAAATTTCCACCTCCTTCTGCAACTGTTGATCAAACTTAACAAGAACAGAGTAATACTCCTTCTCATCCCGTCCAGTGGTTTTCTCATCAACATAGGCAACTCGAAGGGCATCATTGTTTTTCATTAGATACAAAATTTCATCAGCATGAGGATCCTTTTTTTCCTTCTGAGTTCCATATATCTGGCAAGCAACCACATATGTGAATTTCATTAACGCAGTCCCGTACTCATGGCCTTTGAATAACAAACTTACTGAACTGCTCGCTCTACTCAAACTCTTAGAAGATGACCTTTCAGAGTTGAAACTCTCTATATTATCTCGCCTCATTGAAACAAGTTCACGCGCACCTTCTCGAATATCCATTTCTGATGCAGAATCCAGAAAAGTCAACATCTTGAGGGCACGATAGTAATACATCATTCCTCTAACTGTCCTTGATAATGTCTGCCCTCTGTAGGAAGCCCAAAGCTTCAAATCTCTGAATTTGTCATTCCAAATATCACTGTCATTGGTCATCCCCTCCCGGCGCATCCTCTCCATAAAATTCTTCCATTCATCATCATATATAGTCTGCAAATAGTACAGGATTGAAACCCCATCTTCATTCTCAGTTCTGAGTTGTTCTTTGCTGTATAATACATCTTCACTATAGTATGGGGTCAGGACACTGAAAGCCATCATTTTCTCAACTTGGGGAGCATGGGGCATATTCATAAAAAGTGAGTTACTGAAGAAAGCAATCCTCCGTCTAGCTTCTAAATTTATTGGGATGTTTTGCATTGAATCCCTGGATGTAAGAATTGTGTGCAAGCGCCGAACCTGCCGATAGAAATTCTCTTTGTTGGTGTCAGGCAACTGAATGGCATTCTCAAAAAGTAGACCTGCAGCAGGATTCTGTTGGGCCAAACCATCCTCCTTTAGCTGGTCAGGATTTCTTTTTTCCTTGAAAAAGTCTCTGATAGCAATCTCATAAAGGGCCTGAAGGGTATTCACCACTTGGTTAGGATCTTTGGTGGGCTTATTAAATAAATCAACAAGTTTTATCAACTTGTTGTGGAGCTGAGGCAATGCAGTTGTTTTGAATGTTTTAGTGAACTTCTCAATCTCAAGAGAGTGATCAATTTCCTGAAACAGAACAGTCACAATAGAATGCTCTTCAGTATTGGGTTTGATAATCTCAAGAAGCAAGTGCTTGACACTATCATATGCTTCAATGACAGCACAGCGCCTGTACTCAT